TGGGGAAATGAAGAAAGGGGTATAAGAAAATATTTATTTGGGTTGCTATGACAACAGAACAAGCCATCACAACAACATTCTCTCTTTTCCATCTGTCAAACTTGGGCTTGACGGAGCCTTAAGAAACACTCAGTGTCCACCCTGAAGATGAAACAGAGCAAAAATATTATTCTAAATTTGATAGATTTTTGGCTCGACTTAAAACTCTTTCATAACTCATTCAGTATTTGCCACAAGTCCCGGCTACTTCCTGTTGCAGTGGGTAGACTCACTAGCAGTGAAGAGTAAGTACATTGTGTGTGTGTGTGTGTGTGTGTGTGTGTGTGTGTGTGGTGGGGGGATGGCAGCATGACTACAGGCCAAATTCAGGCTAACGTCCACCGAGATGCCAAGCGGCCACTCACTGAGCTCGTGGCCTGTCCTGCTCTCTTGTGCTGTTCTGAGGTCTCACAAAGATTGGGGGGAATCAGAAGAATGAGGAGGCTTGCTTCCACTTCTAGCTGAACAGGGCTGGAAATGGGACCACATGTGGCATGTGGAATACCGTGCCCAGGGGTGATGAGGATGAAAGACCCCACGGGAGCTTATGCTGAAGGCTCTCCTCATAGACTTTCCCAGGTCAGATGATCTGCAGCCAGCCACTGTCCTCAAATCCCTAGTTTGTCATGACCTGGTCAAAGAACTCTTCAGTTCCTTATGGTTCTTTGTCCATAAATCAGGCAGCATTAGGTGGAGGCAGATTCCTCCTGGAGGGATACCCAGTAAGAAGAGCAGGCCCGAGAAGGGAAGATGGGTTCTAGCTTTTTTCACTCAGCAACTTCACACACAGGATGTTCTTTGGTGGATTTTCTGTGTTTTGATCATTAGCTATCTTTCTTCCTTCCTTCCTTCCTTCCTTCCTTCCTCCCTCCCTCCCTCCCTCCTTCTCTTTCTTTTTTTTCTTAAGATTTTATTTTTAAGTAATCTCTACACCAATGTGGGATTCAAACTTACAACCCTAAGATCAAGAGTCGCAGGCTCCACTGACTGAGCCAGCCAGGAGCCCCAGCTGTGTCACTTTCTTACAGGTGAGCCAGATTTCCCTGTACTGGCTCAGTTGGCCTGTTAGGAAGGGGTCACCACGGAGGGTCAGAGAGACCTGACACCGAGGTCTCCAGAAGTAGACAGTGTAAGCTGTAAAAGGAGGTGCAGAGACGCCCCGACTTCTGAGCACAGTCTAGAGCAGAGGCCTGGGCATCCTGGAGAGGACCCACAACACGGTGCGTAATTTAACTCTAACCCAAGAACGTTAAGAAGGGAATTAGATGTGCATGCACAGTTACTTGGGCGTCACACAGCTCTGAAGTGTCAGGGACTGGAATCGCTCTAAGGAAGGCCCCAGTAGCTACCCAGGTGATTTCTACTGAACCAGACGAAGCCGGGAGGGGAGTGAGCCTATGGAGCTCAGGGAGAGGTGGGGTGTTGGGGCTGACTTTCCCTCAGCAGCATGTTCATAGAATCACATAGCATTTGAGCCAGAGGGGTCCTGCAGGCATTAGACAGTCCTCCCCCCCACTGCACAGTTGGGCACATGAGGTGGTCGTCCCCTGGGACACTCTGGCAAGCACAGGACGCCTGAGGAGGTGGGGTCAGGAAAAATACCCTTATAGCAGATTCTGGGCCAGGATCAAAGGGAGGGCAAGGCACGAAGGAGCACGGTTCCAGGAGGTCCCGAGCACTCTGGCCTGTGGAGTGAGAGAATTTCAGAGCGAGGAGAGACTGTGGGGTCGCCCGGTCCCACCAGCCTCACTGGGCCCCAGCTGAAGGCCACAGAGAGGGAGGGCTTGGGGAGAAAAGCACAGAAGTCTTAGCTTCTTCAGTACACAATTCTAGCCTGATGCCAAGCACACAAGAGGTCTCAACGGCATGTTTTAAAAAAGACTTTCCTTATATATTTCTGTAGATGGGGGTCAAAGAGGTTGCCCTTCCCCCCGCCAGACCACGTGGCGTGCTCCTCCTCCTCCCTTCTCATTTTCTCTGGAGCCAAGCTGCCTGCGTCCCAGCCCTCCCACTAACCACTGGTTTGCTTGAGCAAAGTGACTTAACCTTTGTGTGCTTCTTAGTTTCCTAATAATAGAAGCTATCTGACTGAGTTGTCAGGAGCCTGAAAGAGTACAGATCAACCCCTTCCAAGAGCCGGGCCCAGAGGCAACATTCCAGTGTTCTTTGTGGTGGCGGTGTTGTTCCTGTCATCAGGCTTGCTCATGCTGCGATTCCTTCTTTTCTGGCCTCAGCTCTATGGGCCTTTATTTATTTATTTTTCCATCTCTTCAGGTCTGCCTGGGCATTGGATGGAAAGATAATTTATGGGGCAAGAGAGAGAATACTTCGAGGCATTTGTAACAGGAAAAGCAGGGGCTGGCTGCCTTTGGGGACAACATGACATGGGGGCTGTCACAAGTCGCAGTGACGAGGGGCCTGGGTGCAGATGAGCCCTGGTTTCATAAATGAGGAGGCCCAGGCCCACAGCTGAGGATGCTCAGGCTTCCTCCCTCCTCCGGGGAAGCACCCCGGGGCCCTGCATCCCACGTGATGAGACGGATGTGCAAGTATGAAAGCTCTAAAGGGTCTATAAAGGTAATTAAGGTGTTTTACACACACACACACACACACACACACACACACTCACACAGTGGTTAACTGCGCCATGGCCTGGCTCTGGACTCTGTCCCTGCAGCAGCTGTAGCTGGCGTTTTACCCCCTCTGCCCTCTCATGGCGGTCTGCTGTTCGAAGGGACTCCGTCTCTAAGGGCAGAACACCAGGCATCATGGAAAGTGGGGCGAGGAGAGACACTTTGAAGTCCCCTCCAATCCGACCACATCGGTGACCTGTCCCCGCAGTAAAGCTGAGCAGGAGGGGAGGAGCTGGGAGAAGCAACCCAGATGCAGCCACGGGGCAGGGTCCATTCTCAGGGATGGAGTCCCTTCACCTTCCTTTGTCTCTTGTTACAGCAGCTCTGGGGAACGGGCTTCAGTCTGTCAACCCAGAAATCTGTCCAGGCTGGAGGGAGAGGTGGGCAAGTCCCCTCCAGACATCTTCGTCACAGCATTTCCAGGAGTCTTCATACCCTAAGCCTGACCCATCCCCTCTGCTGTCCTTCAGGGATGCATCTGTCTTTGACCCTTTCTATTCCCACCCTCTCTCTCATTGTACCTCTCTTTCGTGTTCTCCTTTGTTGGGGAGGGAAGCCTGGGGAGGGCACGCTCCTCTCCAGCCATGCCCGTCTTCCCAGACATTTTCTCAGGAGGCACCTTCCCAAGCCTACCATCTTCAACCCGGCAGCAAGCTCCTGAAGGGACTGCTTGGCCCCATGTCCAGTCTGGGTGGGCAGCAGGTTTACTGGGCTGGCCTTCACTTCTTGCCTTGGCCTTCCTGAGAGCCATCACTTTCCCCTCCCCCACGGTGGAGCCTGAGAATTCTACTTCCGGGGACAGAGTGGAGCTTCCAGAGCAGACAGACAGCTACTCGATGAAACCCGACCCTGGTCACTGAAGGGTTATTACTCATCTTTCGCTTCCAGAGCCCCAACCTTATAACTCTCCCGCCTGAATTCCCCAGTGCCCAGTGAGCTTGGAGAGCTGCCCACTCCCAGCACCAGCTGCAGGCTGAGAGCCGGCCTGCTTCCTGCGCGGACCCCAGTGCACTGGGGAGTGCAAGAAGCATGACAGTAACAGTGAAGAGCTCACTAAAAACCGGGGGGGGGGGGGGGGGGGGCGGGGGAGCAGGCTGGGAATAGCTAAGTGGCTGCTGTCCAAAGAGGAGCATCACCAAGATGACCAGATGGGCTGGAGTGGGAGGAGAGGACTGGATTCCATTTCCTTCCACGTTCCTGATGAGCTCCACATTCATTCCTCTGTCCTTTCCGTTCTTCTTTCCCTGTTCTTCTTCCTCCCTTTTGTTTTCCAGATTTGGGAGTCCTCTTTCCTCTCCAAGCCACGGTTCTTTGATTTGTGTGTTTTTGGCATTTCTTCTTTCTGGCTGGACTCCTCGGTTGGCCTCATCTGCTTTCCCTGGTTGGCGCGCCCATCTCAGCCCTTCCTGGAGGGGCAGTCACCAGCCATGCTGCTGTGCCCTCAGTTCCGGAGCAAAGAAGCCTCTGATTCAGTGTTCTGAAGCGATGAAAATGCCAGGAATTCTTTTTTTTTCTTTTTTAATTCAGAATTCACTCAAATCCCTATCTGCATCTCCTCTGGCTCTTCTTTGATTTGTGACTTGGGCTTTGCAAATCACTGAACGTGTCCCTTAGGACATGGGGGGCATCCTACCATGCAGTGAGCAGGTGTGTGTGATTCTGTGTCATTTATCCACCGTAGGGATCCATCTGTGTTTAGCATGGCCCTGCAGGCCTCTGTGAACCTTGGCCCCTTGCCCCCCACTCCGCCTTCCTTCGTCTGCTTAGCTGTAGTGAACTGCTTTATAAGTTTCTGAAGGTGACACGCTCGGCCTCCTGTCTCCTTTCCTTTGTCTAGATAGCTATAGCTCCTTTAGCCTGGAATGTGCTTTCTACTTGCTCTTAGTCTCAGGACTCACCCAGAAGTGGCCTCCTCTGAGCGTAAGTGCCCTCCTTGGTGTCCAGAACATGCCACTCCGGTAAGCCTCGACGGCACAGTCCCAGGGGCTCTGCTCACGCCTCCATCCCCCACCCCACCTGGACTGAAAACCGTGAGTACAGCTCTGCGCTTTACCCTTGTGCCTTTAGCCCACAGCAGAGCGCCCAGCACCCCGCGGAATGATGAAAGGTAGGCTGAATATCAGATAAGTAGCACAGAGAAGCGCAGGCTTACGTTGTTTTACAGAACCAGTGTGCCTTATAAACCTCCCATCCTCGCGGCCCACTGGTCTGCACTCTTCCCTCAGAGGGGCTTCCTCTGCAGTCCTGGGCAGTCACCTGCCCCCCACGCTCCAGACAGTCCTCCGACTGTCATTCAGACACTCTAGTAGAAATGGTCAAGGCAGGTACCTGAGCTTGTCTGCGATGAAGATGATCCTTCTTTCCAGAAGCAGGGAGGCAAACACACAGAGCAGGTGGCGGACGCTGAGAGAGGAGAAGAGAGACTCAAAGTCTACGTGCTCAAGCCGGGAGTCCAGTGGGCGGCACAGTTCAATCACCTGCCGGGGAACAGAGCAGCCATGAGGAGGTCCTCAGCAGGGGTGAGCCATTTGCAGAGGAAGAGGGAAAGAAAACGAGGAAGGCAAAAGTGATTGGGGAAAAGAAAGATCCTAGGACACTGAGGGAGCAGGTACATTTGGTACGAACTCTTTCTCACAGTTGAGTGTGAGGAACGTTCAGATGGAGGTGGGGACACTGGATGGCAGAATCAATGGCCCGTGGCCCCAAATGCTTGGAGGCTCTGCCTGACAGTGACATGTCTGGACCATCCCCCTCCCCGGGAGTTCCATGACTGTTGATGTCCTATCACTTAGAGTCCCACAGGAAAGTGTCTCTGCCTCACGAGGGAATATTACCTGCTGGAATGGAGTCACAGGCTCACGCAGAAGGACCAACAGATCCAAGCAGCACTTTCCGGACTCAACTCCTCTGGAAGGCATTTCTCAATAAACCCAACCCCATACCAATCCTTTCCTTATGATGTGTCTGACGGCTTATATGCTTAGTGGGCACATCTTCTCATTCTGTACTCGTTGAAATGTTCCCAAATTCATCTCAAGTCACTGCTCATGTGTGTTTTTCCCTTTAAATAGCTGACTCCTTCACAGTGAGCAGAGACTGGTGTTTTACTCTGAGCATGGCACCTGCCCAGTGCTGCCCCCATAGTGGGGCTCACTAATGTTAACATCCTTATGGCCAAGCCACCTGCATCTGGTATAGGATACTACAGGGTTCTCCAGCAACACGGAGAATGCTTCCCTCTGTTCTGGGAAATTGAGTTGTTCCAGAATACCCTAGACCTATCCTTAATCCCTCACCTGTATCCAGAGCTGCTTTTTCGAGGACTTTTGCAACTAGAGACTCAAGGCTGAATGGAATCTGCCTAGTGATATCTACAGAGCCATATGAAGGGAATGGGAAGGATGCAAATAAAGTCCTGCATTAAGTTCCAACCCAGCCAAGGAAAGGGACGTACCTCAAAGTCCTAGAGAGGTGAATAAAAAGTAGTATGTACGCTTGTCTTCCCTGAAAATAATCTGTTTTACATTATGAAGTTACAGAGGTGATGGAGACCCAAAATGTAAATAGGTTCAAATACAACCTATAAGTGTAATTGGCTAATAAGAGAAGCTAAGGATCCAGTTCCCTCACCTGTAACACCAATGTCATGCAAAGAAACACCATGTGCTGCCATGGCACAGCTCTGGGGCTTGCTCTCTGGGACTAAACCCTGGAACGGAGGGACAGGACTTAGGGTGGATTTTATGATGTCTGATGTCACATTCAGTGATGTAACGGACCTCTGAAAGCCAGCCGTTTGGTCTGAGCCATTCTCTCCCCTAGGAGACAATAGGAATCTGATGACTTACCTCAGTTCCCGATCCTGGCAAGAAGTTCTTGACAACGATGGTTTTGCCCAGTGCTGGGAAAGGGGCTTCCATGACACTCCTCATGAGGGGCTGTACCAGGGCAGGAGAAATGCCTCGCCGTTTTTCCACCTCATCCAAGATCTGCAAGGGTCACAAAAGCAGCTTAGCTATCCTGAAGTCAGGGCACCAAGATATCACTCCGTTTTCGATGAAATGGGCCTGCCACCGTGACTAAAGAATTATGGGGAAGCCCTGCTGTCCTCATCAGGCCAAACTTAAAGTGTTTTCACCCCATATGTTATTGCCTCAAATCTCCTCTCTATGTACCCACTCCTTTGCCATGTGCCTTTGCAGTTCTTCTCACTAAAGTGGTGAAGTTCCTTGATCCCCTTGACTTTGGGTTTGGCCACTTAACTTACTGGCCTAATACATGCATTCTCACTGGGAGCAATATTGCCCCAAGGGGATAAAAATTGGTTCTTGGGGGCGCCTGGGTGGCTCAGTTGGTTAAGCGACTGCCTTCGGCTCAGGTCATGATCCTGGAGTCCCGGGATCGAGTCCCGCATCGGGCTCCCTGCTCGGCGGGGAGTCTGCTTCTCCCTCTGACCCGCCTCCCCCTCATGCCCTCTGTCTCTCATTCTCTCTGTCTCAAATAAATAAATAAAATCTTTAAAAAAAAAAAAAAATTGGTTCTTGGGGGTGATGCTGAAAAAAACTTAGATATTATAATGGTTTGTAGCCCTTTAAAAGCCCATAGTACCTAAAAAGATCTACAGCGTATCTGTGGAGTTAAAATATCTCTGAGGGTAGCCATTACGGAAGTGCAAACCAAAATCACAACAAGATACCACTTCACACCCATTAGGATGGCTATGACCAAAAGATAGACAATAGCAAGTGTTGGTGAGGAAGAGGAGAAATTGGAACCCTCATGTACTGCTGGTGGGAATGTAAACTAGTGAAGCCCCTTTGCTAAGCCGTCTGGCAGTACCTTAAAAGGTTAAAGATAGTGCTTCCATATGACTTAGCCATTACACTTCTGGATATTTACCAACAGAAATGAAAACATGTTCACACAAATGTGTGTACATTGGGGTGCCTGGGTGGCACAGTCAGTTAGGCGTCTGACTCTTGATTTCAGCTCAGGTCATGATCTCAGGGTGGTGAGATCAAGCCCCATGTCAGCGAGCTCACAATCAGCATAGAGTATGCTTGAGATTCTCTCTCCCTCTCCCTCTGCCCCACCCCCGCGTGCTCTCTCTCTCTCTCTAAGATAAATAAATCTTAAAAAAAAAAAAAACAAGAACTAGTGTATTAATGTTCATAGCAGAATTATTCATAATAGTCAAAAAGGGGAAGTAACCTAAATGTCCATCAACTGATGAATGGATAAACAAAATGTGATATTCCATTATATACCATTATCAGCCATAAAAAGGAATGAGATACTGATTCATGCTACAACATGGATGAACCTTGAAAAGATTAGGCTAAGTCAAAGACACCAGTCACAGAAGGCCACTTATTGTATGATTCCACTTGGATAAAATGTCCAGAACAGGCAAATCCATAGAGACTGAAAGCAGATTGGTCGTTACTAGGGTTGGAAAGTGACTGCTCATGGCTACAGGTGTTGCTTGCTGGGGTGATAAAAATGTCCTATAAATGTGGTGATCGTTATACAACTGTGTGGATATGCTTTAAAAGCCACTGAATCCTAGATTTTAAATGGGCAAATTTTATGTTTTACAAACTATATTTCAATAAAACTGTTATTTTATTTTATTTTTTTTAAAGATTTTGTTTGACAGAGAGAGACAGAGCGAGAGAGGGAACACAAGCAGGGGGAATGGGAGAGGGAGAAGCAGGCTTCCCGCTGAGCAGGGAGCCCGATGCGGGGCTTGATCCCAGGACCCTGGGATCATGACCTGAGCCGAAGGCAGACACTTAACAACTGAGCCACCCAGGCGCCCCATCAATAAAACTGTTATTTGAAAAAAAAATCTAAATGCAAGACCCTCCATAATCTAGTTGTGGACCAAAGAGTTTATTTTCAATTAATTATTTTTTTTTTATTTTTAAAGATTTTATTTATTTATTTGACAGAAAGAGACACAGTGAGAGAGGGAACACAAGCAGGGGGAGTGGGAGAAGGAGAAGCAGGCTTCCCGCGGAGCAGGAAGCCTGACGCGGGGCTCGATCCCAGGACTCTGGGATCATGACCTGAGCTGGAGGCAGATGCTTAACGACTGAGCCACCCAGGCACCCCGGACCAAAGAGTTTAAATAAAAATACCATTTATATTAATACACGTGTAGCCATTGAACCCTTGAAATATGGCGAGTCTGAATTGAGGTGTGTTGTAAAGTGTAAAATCCTCAGTAGATTTCAGAATACAAAATTAAGGATGTAAACTATCAATGACCATATGGATTATATGTTGAAAAAATAATATTTTGGATATGTGGGTTAAATGAAATTTATTATTAAAATTAAAAAGATCGTATATATGGTAATTCTTCAAAAAATTAAACATAGAATTACCATATAATCCAGTAATTCCACACTTATGGATACATAGCCCAAATATTTGAAAGCAGGGACTCAGATATCTGAATGGCCATGTTCATAGCAGCATAATTCACAATAACTAAAATGTGGAAACAACACAAATGTTCATCTAATAAACTGATGGACAAATAAAGAAAATGTGATATATATAAATAATAGACTGTTATTCAGCTTTAAAAAGGAAGGAAATTATGACATATGCTCCAATATTGATGAACCTTGAGGACATATGCTAAGTGAATATAAGTCAGTCACAGAAGGACAAATATATGATTCCATTTACATGAGATCCTGCAGTGATCAGATTCATAGAGACAGAAAGTAGAATGGTGGTTGCCAGGACTAGGGAAAGAAGGGAATGGGGAGTTAGTGTTTAATGGGTGCAGAGTTTTGGTTCAGAGATATCAAAAAATTCTGGAGATGGATGATGGTGACAGTTATACACAATGTGAATGAACATAATGCTAATCAACTGTACACCTAAAAATGGCTAAAATAGGGGCATCTGGCTGGCTTAGTCGGTAGAGCATGCAACTCTTGATCTGAGGGTTGTGAGTTTGAGCCCCATCTTGGGTGTAGAGATTACTTAAAAATAAAATTTAAAAAATGGCTAAAATAGTAACTTTTATGTTATGTTTATTTTATGGTGTTAAAAAATAACATGACAAAAAATTAAAAAGAATCTTTTGGGGGTGGGGAGGCAATTCAGGGAAAAAACATCTTAAAAGGCTGGTTAGGGGGTAATAAAGAATGGATGAGGAACACTGAAGCAGAAGTGACAGTGCACCAGTTTGAAACCTGGGCCTTAGGAGGCCTGTCTTATGTGTTTCTGCTTGCCCACTTGGGCCTCTGCCTCAGGCACAAGAACTGCACACCTGGGCCAGCTCCCTGTCTAAGGAGGAAGACAGACATGTGGACTAGGCCCAACCCCAGACTGGCAGCCGACAGCAGAGCCCGGGCTGCCTGAGTCAGCCAACTCCCAGCCTACCCCCAACGCACGAGTGAGCCCAGTGGAGAAAAGCCGAGCTGAGGCCAGCTGATCTGCGCGTCTGTAAGAATAAATGACTGGTGCTTTAAGCCACTGTGGTTTGTTACTCGGCATGACTGTTAGTGATACTTAATGGTATACTTTTCTTCAGAGATTTTGAGAGCTCTTCTTGAACAGGATTCCCCTTCCCTCCTCCCTTCGTTTTCTGTTTTTGTTTTTCAATGTGGGGCTTGAACTCACAACCCTGATTCCTTTCTCTGTACAACAGGACAATTTGTCATTTTAGCCATCCTAGTCCCTCACCTGGAAATAGCTCGAGTTTTAGAGATCAGTTTGCCAAAGCTCTGTTTCTGGTTCTATCCAGCATATTTACTGTTTGGTCTTTGGCATGGCATCACATCACACTCCCATAATATCTCTAGTCACAAAAATGCTACGAAAACACAGAACTGTGCATCACACACTGTTAGTATGTTGACTTGCTTGTCATCCCCCGTCCATGACAAAACAATGGAGCTCACGTGAATTCCAAAGGCACCACTGGATGCTGGGCTAACTCAGCTGTTTTACTTCTACCTTCTGTAGCATTCTCACAACAGCAAAGGCTATGACACAGCCTTATTTCCACATTTAAACAACCCCTTGGGAGAGACCTACGTGAGCAGTAATGCATAACTGTCCTAGAGCCTCTAAGTGACCAACTTCTGTGTAAAAGGCTTACCACCCCAGCGGAGGGGAGGCAGGAACACAGATACATCGATATCATTCTTTATTTCTAACACACTTGCCCAGAAGTATAAGTTCTACCAAGGCAAGAGGTTACACTAGATCAGTATAGATCAGGCTTCCTCTGAGGTAAGTGGAAGGTGGCCAGGAGGCAGACATGTTTCGGAACGCTTTCAGGAAGTGCTGTTTGCCATCCGTGGACAATAGACACAGGACTTCAATTCTCCGAAAGAAAGCTCAGAAAGAAATGCTCAAGGAGAATTTAAAATCACTTTATGGATTAGATACTCATGTCTGGTTAATGTAGGAAATGAATGTTGGATTATACCTAATTTTTGAGATTATCATCATACACAATAGCAATTAGCTCCTCTGTCCACCCAGAATAGTGGGGTGGGTGAGCCAATTCAGTATGGCAATTCCTAGGTCTTGATACACTGGCTCATCTTCCCAAAAAGAGGACCAGATTGTATTAAGATTTTGATCCATTTATTTATTTATTTTATTTATTATTTTTAAAGATTTTATTTATTTATTTGAGACAGAGAGAATGAGAGACAGAGACCATGAGAGGGAGGAGGGTCAGAGGGAGAAGCAGACTCCCCGCCGAGCAGGGAGCCCGATGCGGGACTCGATCCCGGGACTCCAGGATCATGACCTGAGCCGAAGGCAGTCGCTTAACCAACTGAGCCACCCAGGCACCCGATCCATTTATTTATTTATTTTAAAGATTTTATTTATTTATTTGACAGAGCGAGAGAGCACAAGCAGGGGGAACAGTAGAGGTAGAGGGAGAAGCAGGCTCCCCACCCAAGCAGGGAGCCCGATGCGGGGCTCGATCCCAGGACCCTGAGATCATGACCTGAGCCGAAGGCAGACGCTTAACCATCTGAGCCACCCAGGCACCCCAAGGTTTTGATCCATTTAGAGCACTACTACAATAATAAATATCTCACACACACCACACATATATACATACTTATACATCCATCCATCCAAGTGGCCTCTTTGTCATGCAAAAGCGAGTATGACAAAGGACAATGCTTAGAAGTAAGAAAGTAAAACACAAGGAATATTCTGGAAAGATCCTCTGCCCCTTCCATCCTCTGTAATTACTTTGCCTCTTCCCCAACTGCCTCTCTCTGGGCCCTGACCTTCACTGGCTCTCACTGCGGGTACTAATGATAAGAGAACAGAGGAGGTGATGGGGGAGGAAGTGGGAAGGAAACTATGTGGGGATATGATTACAAAAGCACCAGGAGTCCAGGTGTTTCCTGTGTCCTCCCGGGCTCTGCCTTGCCTTCCCTTCCTCCCCCCTCTGAGGCCTCACCTTTGAAAAGAGGCTGAAGCATCCCAGGCGGCTCACGATGCAGTAAACTTCAGGGAGACGCTTCCCTTTGCCACCAGGCTTTTGGTGTGAAACAAGGAAATCGTGAGTGTTACCATCTCAAAGTAGAGAACCCAAACATTTTTAAGTGCCTATCATGTGCCAGATGTTTCCCCACTCCAGCTTTTGAAAACCCAAGTAAGTAGTTACCAATACCCCATTTTATAGGTGGGAAGCACTTCTGGTCACACAGTATATATATTTATAGTCTCCTGAAGGGACCAAATCAAGGGTGTCGTGCGCACAGTAGGTGCTCAATATGGCCTATGGAACCGTAAAGTAAGGAGGCTTAACTTGTTTACCGAAATCACTGTGGTCCCTCTTAAGGAGTTACCTTGAAACCAAATGTTGTTTATTATAATGGTAATTCCAAACCAGAAATCATTTCTGAATATCCTTTTTGGAACCTGCCTTTTAAGGTAATTTTCCAACCAAAATGAAAATCAATCTCAATATGTCAAAGTAATTTCATTACCAAAACTTATTATCCATTTCACTTTTTAAATTGTTATCTATGCTTTTTATTCACTAATTAATTCAACAAATATTTATTGAATACCTACTATGTGCTGTGCATTATCCTGACTCTAAATTATATCAACTTATTTTGAAGATTCAAATACACTGAGTGGAAAATGATTTGCTTCTGTTAAAGATTTTCAAAAGAATGGGTCTCAAAAAGACAAGCTCTAAAATGGGTTAGCATGATCATTTCATTGGAATACAATCATCACTTGTAAAGGTGATTGTTCTGAAGAACACATTCTTGAATGATCTGTAGTATGAACAACAGAACTATCCTTCTTTGGCCTTTAGCAACCGTTATGAATGTGTGCGCTATAAGCTCTCCGGGTCTGTTTAGCATGTTTTATTAGAATATTTGGCTTAAGGACAGAAAGGTCTTTTATTTGGCAGGGAAAATAATGGAGGAAGTATTTTCTCTCTAAGGGAGACAGAGTTCTTGTTCCTTTCTACCAGTAAGATTTCGATGAATCCTCAAATCTTCCATGTTTTTAACTCCGCTGATGAACCTGTCACACTTCCTGCCTCTGCTCTCATGGCACACGGTGGAGCCCCAGGACCCAGTGCTGCGCAGGGCTGCCCAGAGCGCTGGCAGACCAACAGAAGACTGTACTAACCAGCAGTCTTCGGCAGTAACCGAACCGTCTGCTCCCATCTTCTCCAGTTAAGACAAATGAGAAGGTTTCACTGCGGTTGGGGAAACAAAAGTACATTACATAGCAAAACAAAACAAAAGACACCTGGTTAGAGAGCAACCGGGGGACATTCTGGAGGGGCTGTCAAAAAGGGCGGCTCCCTGTCCTGCCTGTCCATCTCTGTGCGAGGACTCTGTGCGCCTGTAGTTTTGGGGTCTGTGTGAGGGAGAAGGAGACCTAAAGTGTCACCGCATCCTGAAAGGATGAGGTGTCATAGCGCTCCATCACCTGACCGCCCCGTTGCCCAAGAACGGCAGTCACTTACAGAGCATCGGTTGTGACTACGGCCCTCCGTGAGCTCCAGGGTGGAGGGCATCCGCCGTTCTAGGGATGTGACTCAGTGAAGGAGCAGCCGGAGAGGGGACAGTTCTGTGTCCCTCTTGAAACTGCCCCTGGGGTGACCCTCCCGGAGAACTGTCTCTCCAGAGCCCCCCGAGGCTTGGACGCCCTGAGGGACTGCTGAGCCAACCCGGGGAGCACAGTATGCCTCAAATACAGGCTATGCAGCCCCCTGAGTTTGGTCAATTGCTGAAACATCTGATAAAAAAAATACTGGTGCGTAACAACACGGTTAGAGCAGAAACGTAAAGCTATCACAGTCTGAGTTGACAGCTAGATGGGCTGCTATTAAATGATTCCAGAGCACGGACCAGGAAGGCTGACGGGCAATGTTCCTCTAGTTTCTCCTAGACGAAGAATTACTTTTGCCCTTCACAGAGGCTTATGAACCAAACATATGCCCAGATTGAGTGGGAGGCTGGGAATCTGCATATTTAGCCAGGTGGTTCTTATCTTCAGGGAAGTTTTAAAACACCGGTGGGGAAAGTATCTAGCCTGGGGCCCATCAGGATTGCTGGCAGTAAAACCGAATTATGGCGTCTGTCCTCTATGACCTCTCCCTGGTTCTTGCCGAGCCTTTGGGGGTGGGGAAGGGAGATGCCTGCACATACCTGGTAAATTGCTGGACAGGAGTCCAGTCCTTGGCATCAGGGAAACAGAACTGAGGGATAGCCTTCAGCTGGTCCTCAGACTCTCTCATGAACTTGAAAGACCTTTCCAACTGCAGTGAGAAGGGTGAGAGAAGGTTGGGGAATAAACCCCAGCTTGGGAGAGAAAGGCAGATGCTTGGCAAGACCACATCTTCCACCTGCCCACAGTTGAGACCACCACCTTAACCTAGGAAGGGTCTGTAGCTCAGTCTGCTGGGGCCCTTTTTTTCCCAGGGCATTGTCAACTCTAGTCTTATGGGAGAAGTCAGGAGAAAACAAAATAGTGTGTTTTAGAGAAATATTCTTTTTTTTTTTTTTTTTTAAAGATTTTATTTATTTATTTGAAGAGAGAGACACAGCGAGAGAGGAAACACAAGCAGGGGGAGTGGGAGAGGGAGAAGCAGGCCTCCCGCTGAGCAGGGAGCCCGATGCGGGGCTCGATCCCAGGACCCTGAGATCACGACCTGAGCCGAAGGCAGACGCTTAACGACTGAGCCACCCAGGCGCCCCTAGAGAAATATTCTTGATGTCTAACATTCTGGAATATAACTGTTTTATTTATTTTATTTTTTGTATATTTTTTTGGACTATATTTTATTTTTTATTATTTTTTAAAAGATTTTATTTACTTATTTGACACAGAGAGAGAGCGTGAGAGAGCAAAAGCAAGGAAAGCGGCAGAAAGAGAGGGAGAAGCAGGCTCCCCACTGAATAGGGAGCCCGACACGGGACTTAATCCCAGGATTATGGGCTCTGACCTGAACTGAAGGCAGACGATTAACCGACTGAGCCACCCAGGTGCCCCTGGACTATAACTATTTTAACCAATAAGGAAAAAGTGTCAAACCAATCCCCTCCAAATAGGAGACTCTGAATCTGCAAGGCAGAGCCTTGAATCTGGTCTTCCAACCTCTGGGCCCCTGAAAGCTGCTCTTCCTCGATCCAGGCAAAGACATTTTGTAACATTTCTTAGTGAATACATCCAGTTAAATTACATTATACACTAAACTTCAATTAATTTCATTGTCCTTGAATGTCAGAACTGAAAGGAAATGAGACATCATCCAGTGTCACATTCTTATTTTAGAGAAGGAAATAGCCCTGACATGTTAAGTGATATGTCCATGGTCACATACTTAGTGTGGAATCTAGCTAGGGATTGTTTTTCTTGTTTTGTTTTGTTTTTTTTTTTAACTTTTCCTGAGAGAGAGATTGCAGTGGGGAGGAGCAGAGGGAGAGGGACAAGAAGACTCTGCACTGAGTGTGTAACTTGAAGGGGGGCTTGATCCCACGACCCTGAGATCATGACCTGACCTGAAATCAAGAGTTGGATGCTCAACTGACTGAGCCATGCAGGTGCCCCTCTAGCTAGGAATCTTAATCTTTAGTCTCTCTCTCTCTGATTTATTTGACATCATAGACTGAATGAGTATCCTCTTGTTAAAAAAACAGAACAGGGGTGCCTGGGTGGGTCAGGTGGTTAAGCGTCTGCCTTCGGCTCAGATCATGATCCCGGAGTCCCAGGATTGAGCCCCGCATTGGGCTTCCTGTTCAGCAGAGAGTCTGCTTCTCCCTTTTCCTCTATTCCTCCCCCGCTCATGCTTGCTCTTTCAATCTCTCTCTTGCTCTTCTTTCTCAAATAAATACATACAATCTTTAAAGTCTAATTTAAGATTGTATTTAAAGCCATGTGTTTACTTATTTGTGTATGAACAGGAGTCTGTGCTTTGCACCCCATTCTGCGGATCTACTGAAAATAATGTGCGTGCAGTTGACAACACTGTTCTATATACTTGGAAATGTTGGGAGGGTGAATTTTATGTTGTGTGTGTGCGTGTGTGTGTATATATGTGTGTGTGTGTATATATATATATACATTTTTAAAGATTTTATTTATTTACTTGACAGAGAGACACAGCGAGAGAGGGAACACAAGCAGGGGGAGTGGGAGAGGGAGAAACAGGCTCCCCGCTGAGCAGGGAGTCCGATGCGGGGCTCGATCCCAGGACCCTGGGATCCTGACCTGAGCTGAAGGCAGATGCTTAACCGACTGAGCCCCCCAGGCGCCCCTATGTTGTATATTTTTGTGCCATGTTAAAAATGAAGCACTATAGGTTCAAGTTTAGGAAACAAAAAGGAATAATCAGTAATTAGCATATTTGTTTATAAATTTGTACTTCTAAAGTGTTGGGAAGAATGGCTGGCTTCTGTTGTTGTTATTGACACATTTATACTTGTTAACTTTTCTTTATAAAGAGTTAAAGAAAAACATTATGCTCAAGTTACCTTCAGTAATTTGATGTACCAAATATTTGGAGTCTGAATTTCTGAAGTTAGAAAACTGTAATGCTACCCTAAATTCTTTCTGTAATATTTTCCACCAATTTCTTATTTTGTCTCTCAGAGCTTGCCATTGACCTCCACCTCAAACCAGCTTTGCAGACAGCTTCTGAAGTCTGCAGACCACCAACACTGTTGAATGCTTCCCAGAGGATCTAGAAGCCTTCCCCAGGACACCAAATGTCAGAGAGGGAAGGTCTCTAAAGAGAGTATCCAAAGGAATACAGCACTGGGCTGATTTTTTTTCAATTTTAAAACCTACTTCTAGTATGTTTTCCCTTAGGCTACAGCAAATAAAATTAAAGCTGCTATTAATATTAATGGTTGAGACAACTATCAATGAATGAAACACAGCCACCATTTATAGACTTAAAGCCAATTAGTAACTGTCTTTTGGTTTTCCTCCTTCAGAATCAGTAGTCACTGTCTCTTTTCTATATAATGATACTCTCTTCCCTCCATGACCCAGAAGATTCCAGCTGGTCCTGGAGCAGTTTTTGAGTTGATAATTCACTAGCTCAGACTGTTGCCAAAGCAATAATTTTGACTACCCTTGGACAGTCTCACAGAGAAGCAAATACCAGCTGGGTGTAGTTGTTGGAAGGGGTCATTAATCACCACAGAGGGAAGGGCCATCAACTATAAAGAATACAAAAGGAAAGAACGGGGACATTTCTCCACAGTGGAAACCATTAGAGAACTGCAGAGTAGGCCTTGTAGGGAGGCAAGTTCTAGCACTTTTTGACATGGCCCATCCATTTGGATATACCTGCCCTCGGATCACATGCACGATACACACAAATACGTGTGAACACACATGTGCCTGTACATGCTATCATCAACATAGGAGTTATCAACCCATATGGGCACATATGTGCTCTTATATGCACATACACTCATTTACAGGAAGTGAGACATGGAGATGTCTCTCACAAATACAAGCAATCATAAATGGCTGGAAAATTTCCCAGTCTCCATGAATTGTCATAAAGATAATTACATGATATTGAGCATTTTAGTGGAACATGGCAGGCATGATCTCTAGTGTGCAAATACGGAGGGTAAGTCTTGGTCAAGGTGACTATAGAAATGGGGGATAAAACTCATGAGAAAGAGAAAGGAGGAAAAGGTACTTCTGACAGAGAAAGAGCAAAGGCAAGAAGATATAAAATAGCCTGATCTGCAAAAAATGCATGTACAGAATGATCACATAACATTTAAAATATATATCTAAAGAAACACTGGCAACAAGATACATTTCCAACAGAAAGAGACTGGTTAAACAGATTAGGGCATACCCACATAACAGAGTTTATATAATTAAAAAAAAAAAGCTTTAGAATTTATATTAAATATGTTTCTAAATAATGATATGTTTACAAAACATGATGCAAAAATTATACAGTGTATAACACCAGTTTTGTCAGAAAATTACACTGTGAGAAAAGTCTGGGAGAAAACATAATAAAATGCTAACATCGATTATCTCTGTGGAGTGGGATTATAGATAACTTTTTCTTGATACATTTCCAGATTGGTCCCCTTTCCAATAATGACTATGTAAGTTTCTGCTCAAAGAAGTTTTAATGTGGATGTCTAAGAGCCTGGGGATTCCAGGTTGGAAACTACAAGCATTCAATAGTTATGGTGATTCATTCATTCATTCATTCATGAATTAATGTCTTTGTTCCTGAAACATTGATTAAGTATTGCCACATGTACAACATTGTGCTACGCCCCGAGGGAAGTAAACAGGATAAAAACAGTCCTTCGTGCCTTGGTGCTCTCTCCGTGTGGGCCTCAACTAAATGTGGGCATACCTACGGGGCGCCTGGGTGGCTCAGTCGGTTAAGAGTCCAACTCTTGATTTCAGCTCAGGTCACGATCTCAGGGTTGTGAAAGCGAGCCTTGCGTTGCGCTCTGCTTTCAGCAGAGTCTGCTTGAGATTCTCTCTCCCCTTCTCCCTCTGTACCCCCCTCTCCTTCTCTCTCAAATAAATAAATAAAATATTTTAGAAACAAATAAATAAATGTGGGCATACCTATAGTATAGGGATTTTCAGGGGATCATCCTTGGAGGTCAGCTAAAGGAAGGTCAACAGAGCCAGTTAGGAGGGCTAGTGCCCATGGCTTACTTCATTTATACAGTTTCCATCCTAAATTCCAAGGACAGGACTTGATTGCTGCACTGGACCACCGTGGGCAGGACAGAAGGAAGCTGGCCCAGGACAGGAGGAGACCCAGGCCTCCACAGATACTGGGATTATGTGTGGGTGGTGGCAGCAAAGGGAGGCCCCTGAGGGCACCAGGACAGTACACCCTCCCCGCCCCCTGCCTCCGAGCACCTTCATTGTATGAACTGTGCATGGTGTCACATTCTACCTCATGAGTCTTTGTATGCTTATCTTTTGCATTCCTGTCAGAGTATGGGCTTCTTGAGGACAGGAAACACATTTTGCTCATCTTTGTAATGATGGGGCCAAGCAGAAAACAGCTTGAATGTAATAGGGTCTCAGTAAATTCTGGTGGGACTGAAAAGAGCCTCTTTAATACTGGCATCAAAGCCTAAGAATGCATAAATTTATACATTATTGGTCATGCCATTTTAGGCTTTCTGAGGGCCATTTCATGAACCATGTTAGAACAGAACAGAAATCTAGTGCACACATCCAGGGGTACATGGTGCACGTACAGATGTTTGGCATGGACACAAACATAGCCCTCCCTGGGGAGAGCTGTGTGGCTGATGGGAAAGATGCTTCTAGGACAGCTTGGAAAGAGATGTGGCTGGATAAGGAGACGGGGAGGATGAAGAGGATGGCATAGTCACCACAGGAAGTGAGTAAGTGTTTTTGTCTGTACTTTGAGTCTTCAAATCCTTCACCACCTGGGACCTCCAAAATTCTCCAGCGGCAGCTTTTTTCATTTGCTATACCCAGTGGGGACTCATGGTTCAAGATTCTAGACACTGAGTGTTCCTCAGACTCCCGTACCTCCCGGAAACCGCGAGTCCCAACAAGATGTGGGCACGAGTGCTACAGTCCCCCTCGCAGGCCGCCGAGGCCGGGCCGCCCTGTACCTTGAGAGGGAACTGCTGGGTGAGTTCTGGCACATACGCAGCCCCGGCCTGCTTCTTGTGCAGGGACACGACCACGAAGTACTCGAACAGCTGCCTCTGCTGGTACTCCATGAGCTCCCGGTCAAGGCACGGGTATCTGGGAGCGTGCTTCAGGCGGGACTTCACATTGACCAGGCGCTGGCTGTGAGCTGGGGAGAGAGGGCGAGTGAGCGCCTGGGCGTCTCTCCTTCTGACGTGGAACCGCACAGAGCTGTGACAGCTCTGTGTGGTTCCCGGCTCAGAGTACTCCTTCTGATCCTACAAGTGTTCCCACCTTTAACAAATGAGTACAAAACTCTTTGGGGTTCTTGCCAAACTTGGGGGGAACCACACTGGATGGGCCGCCAGGCTAATAGGGGTGCAGAAGCCTGGAACGCGGGGCTTTGCTCTGCCATGGGCTGGCTGGGTGGACTGGGGACAGTGGCTTGAGTCATCCTTGTGTCGCTCTGTCAGATGGGGTGGAGACACTGACTCCTCCCCTCACACACTCCCTTCATCTTTCAGTTTGTGGGATGTGACAAAATCCAGACCACAGAGCTTTGCGAGCGGGAAACTTTGTCATCATCTGCATGACAGACCGGGCAGAGCCATGACTAACTCAGGAGCTCCCGCTTGCCTTCCCTCCTGCCGCTGTTGTCTGTGATGGAAACGGGCTTGTTTCATCCTAGAGGTGGGCCAGGGAGCACGGGGTGTGAGAGATGAATGAGGCAGGGCCGCTGACCGCACGGGTCTCCATCACCTCACTCAGCAGGCCTGGACTATGGCTTTCCTGGGCTTCCCCCTGGAGTCTGAGAAATTGTGGAAAACTCACTAAAGCCTAGACCAAAGTCACCGAATTTAGATCTACAGAGACCAATTATTTCAGTGACTTCATTTGACAGATGAGAAATTAGAGGCCCTGAGATCTTAAGTGATTTCCTTCTGGTCCTACAGCAATTTTCACAGGAGTGGGACAAGAGCCCAGGTGTCTGGAACCCCAGACCAGCTGCGCTGTACATCCCACGTGTGGAAAACACCAATAACGGAAAGGCACGGCAACGGGGCCACTGTAGACGTAGCCACCCTGCATCTCTACAGCCACAGACTCAGTGACCGAACAGGCCCATGCCGGTCATGCTCAGGACTGACCGGCCCCCACGCATCCCGTGGGTCCCCCATCCCCTCAGACGTTCACGCCTTGCCCAACAAGCTCGTGCAAGGACGCTCTGTCCCGTCCCTCACATTAAGCAGGAAGGGCCATCTTGGTAGCTCCCCAGCCCCTGCCTGTGCCATGCACGGCAGCTGGTCTTCTCACCTTTCAGCTTCTCTTCCGTGTCACTGTCAGACTCACTGTTCTCATCTGTCACTAGACAGAAAAACAAACAACAAATTAAAAATGGCAATAGGAGGAAAGTTGCTCATGTGAGTTTTTCTAATAAGAAAACTTTTTGTATGAAGTGACACAAATCCAAGATTTCTACTTCAGAGGGGCTACTTTCTTTCTGGTGATTTAAACGTAATGGACAAACTAGGTCTTCGTCCAACTAAATATAATTTCCAAATTAATGTGGCTCTAGTTCAGATGGTACCTATATCTGGTAATATAGCAGAGACCGCTCCTTATATGCATGGGAAGCAAAGAAGGCAGCTCCCAGGGTGAGCCAGAGCCCACAGCCCTGGGCTGGCCTGACGGACAGTGAAACAGGACCAGAGGATGCACCACCAGGCTGAGCTCATTCCTGGCTCTTCGCTGTCCCGCGGTCCCAAGGACAACAGGAGGTATTTACAAAGCCCCACCTTGTTCTCCTCTTTGGTGAGCCAACCCCAAACAACAGGAAGCCTCTTTTAGGAAGACTCTTGTTTTCACATAGGTGGGGGAGGTGGGACGGTGGACAGTACCTTTTCCCGAGCCGCTCTCCGTGGACTGGGAGAGCCTCTTCACGCGTTTCTTCCCTCTCCGGGCCTCATAAATGGCATTGATTCGCAACACCAGCTGCCAGATGCAGGGAGAAGAAAAGGCAGTGTTAGCAGCTGGGATTCCTCTACTGCTCGTTCTCTTCTGGGACGATCTAAGGCCCGGGGAAGGAGGGAGGAGCCGGTTCCCACTGGTCCACTGGCATCTTTCGACTACTCTTTTCTACCAGACAGGAACATGACTTTCAAGAACACTAAAGGAGGCTGCCAGCCTCACTGATGTGTGAACGGGTGATGTCTAAATATACTAACGCAGGCAGCGGGGACACAGGGAGACAATTTCATTGGCTAATTGTGTGACGACTGCTCCCCCTTCGATGCCTCCATGTCACTGTGGCTTGGGGAGAGCCTTTGCCTCCCCACCCCGGGGGGGGGGGGGGAAACAGAAAAGGAAGAGACAGCAAAAATAAAAAGCCTCCCAGGCAGGGCCCCTTTTGTAGGAACCGTGCCAAAGACCGTCTGAGCGGCACTGGGCGGCAAGGGGGCAGGGCTTACGGTGGATTTCGAGTTCTAGCTTGGGGCTGCATGGTGGTGCCCTGCACCCAGCAGACGCAGCACACCCCCCTTCTTGCAGGGGAGCGCTCATCCACACTCATGGAGGCCTTTGGTGATCTCTCCTACTGCTCAGCAGGCACCACTACTCAGCAGCACATTTTCCACGCTGACTCTAGCAGACCCATCTGCCACAGAAACCCCGGTCACTTCCCACCGAAACCCCGGGTCACTACCCACCAGGCTTTCCAGCACCGCCTGCAAATTTCAAGAGTGGAAGCTCCCTGGGCCCCACCTGATTGCGAGAAGGGGAAGTCTACCCATGCATAGTCAAGGCAAGCCAATGATTTTAATTAAATTAATTAATTAATTAAAGTTTATTTTTAGTAATTTCTACACCCAACGTGAGGCTCAAAACCATGACCCCGAGATCAAGAGCCACATGCTCCTCCTAGTGAGCCCCCAACAGGTGATTTTAAAGGGGAGCTGTGTTTAAATAAAATCTAAAAAAAAACAGTGGGGGGCGCCTGGATGGCTCAGTCATTGGGCGTCTGCCTTCAGCTCAGGTCGTGATCCCAGGGTCCTGGAATCGAGCCACGCATCCGGCTCCCTGCTCAGCGGGGAGCCTGCTTCTCCCTCTCCCACTCCCCCTGCTTGTGTTCCCTCTTTCGCTCTCTCTCTCTGTCAAATAAATAAATAAAATCTTTTAAAAAATAAATAAAGGGGAGCTGTGTTTGAAAGCTGCCTTAAAAAGTTTTATATTCTTTTTGGCATTGGAAGAACTGGAGAGAGGATGTGTTATAGTAAACTAGGTGATGGGCACGCAGGCGGGTGCGGTGGGTTAGCTGGTGCCACTCCCTGGCTCTGCCCTCCACTTCTCTGTCCCACTCCCTGAAGTAGCTCACCAGCTCCTCCCCACAAGCCAGAGCGACAGACTGCCAGTGGAGGAAGGTGGCTCATCCTCCACGTCTCCTTGTGGTGGGCCTGGGCCCTGGTCCTCCAGCTCTGCAACTGGTAAGACACTGCCCTGCCATATGGTTGGACACCTACACACTCTGGGTCCTGACAGGTGGCCCAGCCCTGGCCTTGCCAGCTCTCTTTGTGAATTCCTCGTCCCCAGCCCTGTGCTGGCTTTGCCTTATCTGAACGATCTCTGCCTTCACCACCAAACCCCTCCCGTGCGGCAGTTATTTATTTTTGTTCTTACGAACCAGCCATTCCCTTGAGAGCTCATAGCCCTGAACTGGCTCTCTTTTCTTCTTACACACGTCCTAACCATTGGAGTATTAATGCTAACCCCATTTCCCACGGAAGAAGACAATGCATAAATGAGATGCTGGTATTATTCACAATAGCCAGGAAGTGAAAACATCCAAATGTCGATTAAAGGATGAATGGGTAAGCACAATGTGGTACGTACATACAATGGCACATTATTTAGCCTTCAAAAGGAAGGGAATTTGGACACATGCTAAAGCATAAATGTTCTGCTAAGAGAAATAAGTCAGTCACAAAAAGACAAATATTATATGATTTCATTTATATGAGGTACCTGGAATAGGCAAATTCAAAGAGACAGAAAGTAGAATGATGGTTGCCAGAGGCTGGGGAGGAGGGCGGAATGGGGAGTTAGGGTTTAACGGGGTGCAGAGTTTCCGTTTGGGGAGATGAAGAGTTCTGTAGATGGATGCTGGTGATGGTTGTATAACAGTGTAAATGTACTTAATGCTACTGAACTGTGCACTTAAAAATAGTTAAAATGGCAATTTTTATCTTGTACATATTTACCACAATTTAAAAATATATAAATAAACAAATGAGTTAACTAGGTCAAATTGTGTTTTTTTTTTGCGGGGGGGGGGGGGGCGGATTTTTAAACCCATTCAGCCTCCTCTCACCCAATATCCAAAATTAACTAGAAAGAAGACAGCTACAATACAGTTAACATCCTTCCACTTATTAAAATATAGTGAATACTAGAACGTAAGCTCCATGCAGGTGGGGATCTTTGTCACTTCTGTTCGTTGCTGTAAGAGTACCTGTATGGGCTGGGACAGCGCCTGGCACCTGGTAGGGACTCAACAAGTATTTGTTGATAGGGAATTTGTTGGATGAATACTAAGCATCCCCTATGTACAAGGGGTTTTGCTAGAAGCTGTGAGGGGTAAAAAGATATATGGAGCATGGCATCTGTTCTCAGGCAGTTTATAAGCTAATTGCAAGGACCAATATGCATTCATAGCTATCATATAAGACAATTCATGAGTGCTGTGTGAGTAGTACAAATGTCATGACAGAGAAGGTTCTTCTCACTTTAAATCAGGTCATGGAATAAGTGGAAGCCATGTACACTTCAGTCAATAAATCTCTGTTCCTTTTTATTTAAAAGATTTTTCCCAGAGAGAAAAACTTTAAACATGCTCTCACATAATTATACTTTAACTGGAGTTAAGTTTTGTTGTTTTAAAAGTGTTCTGTACTAGGGGGCACCTGGATGGCTCAGGCGGTTAAGTGTCAATTCTTTTTTTTTTTTTTAAAGATTTTATTTATTTTGACAGAGAGAGCGAGCGAGCCAGTGCACAAGCAGGGGGAGGGGCAGAGCCAGAGAGAGAAGCAGGCTCCCCACCGAGCAAGGAGCCCTATGTGGGACTTGATCTCAGGACCCTGGGATCACGACCTGAGCCAAAGGCAAACGCTTAACCGACTGAGCCACCCAGGTGTCCCTAAGTGTCGATTCTTGATTTCAGCTCAGGTCATGATCTCGTGGTCATGGGATCCAGCCCCATGCTGGGCTCCACACTCAGCAGGGAGTCTGCTTGAGATTCTCCTTCTCCCTCTGCCCTTCTTCCCATGTGCTTTCTCTCTCTCAAATAAATAAATAAAATCTTAAAAAAAAAAAAAAAGAATCATGTACTCAAACCTAGAATTGTGTTAAAGCTCTTTTAACGCAACAGCTAATTCATCTGATCATCCCTGTTTAATTTGCTAAAACGACGGTGAGGTTGGCAGTATAGATGTTAATGGCCACTTTAAATTATCCCACAATTGAGGATTTTGACATTACAGATACCTAGGAATGTGCCAGAACAAGCAGAAGGGGAGTTAAGGGAGTGGCTAGAGACACCACACTTTGGGGGCCCCTGGAGCAGCTACCACAATGGCACAGGACAGCGACTTTGGAGGACAGCCGAGGGGAGACATGGGAGTGAATCTGTGCTGAAAGAGACGGGGGTCCATGTGTTAGTGGAGCTCATTCAGCAAACATCAAATAATCAATATGCAACCCGCTCCACACCCTGGGCCCCAGGCCAGACGAGGCCGAACCTGGAGAGCCTGAAGGGGGAGGAGCCGTGGCTCCTGTCCTAGCCCCTTTGTCTGCCCTTCATCAGCAAAACAAAGGAAGACATCTTTTCTCCTGTTCCAACTAAAACCCTGACCAGGCTGCAGGTTACAGGTCTTTTCTCAACCACCTGACCCTAGCCGCCCTTACTCTTCAGAATGCATTCTGATGGGCAAGTGACTTAACTTCATTTGAATGAGAAAGTTGGGGACGGGTGTGGTAGGGGTGAAATTATAGCTCAAAATATTGACTAACCAAACTGTTAGGAGGAACCAGCTCGTAAACGTCCCATGACTTTCAGGTCAATGCATCACTTTGAGAAATCAGATGAAACCTAACAGACAATATTCCCTTCTTGCCTCCATCCCCAAAATGCTCCACACAAAGTCTTACACAATTTTCCAGGTTTCGTGACCCCTAAATCCCATCCATCCATCCATCCATGTACTCTGAAATGAAGAATCCCTGCTCTAGAAGTTCCCATCGGAAGTTGGTACCAAAGTGGCCACTGAAGAGGGACCAGCACAGCAGGGCTGGAACGGAGCAAAAGGGAATCCAATCAATAGCAGACGCATTAGGATGCACATCTGCCCCTGGGCATGTTTTACCTTTTGAGTTGAAAAGAGCCAGAAAAGATGTATTTTTGACAAGTGCCGCCTCAGAGCACAGGCTCCACATGGTACCGCCTCTGCAGCTGGTGTTGGCCAAAGTGTGAGTCAGAGTGTGATGAATGGAGCTCTACTTTTTGAGGCCGGGAAGGAGGAGGAACTGGCCTTTTGAGGCGGTCATTGGAAACATGGTCTGGGATCGCGAGTATAGTGAGAGGTTAGGCTGGGAGAGGAATGGCTAAGGGGAAGGCTACAGGACCACAAGAATTATTATGACAAAGGCCCAGACAGCCTAGCCGCTGGCTCATGGTGTCTACCTGGTGATGAAGCAGGTAGAAGAGGCCCAGGATTCTGTTCTCTGCCCAGACTCCTCTGCAGCCTTCCTTTGCAGGGAAGGGGGAGTGCAAATCTGCATACAAAGCTTGTTGCAAGCCTTACCTTGGGTATCTTTCTCTTCTTCCTGCCATTCTGTGGGTCTCCAAGGTTAAAGAAAGTGTCATCAGGGCTGCTGGGGGTGGAGGGGGGGCTGATTTTGGAAGGGGACCCATATCCATCCCGACTCAGCTTCCTGGTGTCCAGCAATTTGAAGTTCCTCCTCTCTGAATTTTGCCGGAAAAAAGCAGGTTTGGCCAATGACTGCTGGGAGGGGAAAGGAGAAAAGAAGAGTAAATACAAAGGGCCTAAGGGGGAGATAGCTGGGGGTGCCAGTGATACAGACCAGGAGATCGAGAGGGAAAGCTTGGTCTCTCTTCCCAGGGTATGCTGAGTTTGTCTCTGCTAAAGGATGCAGATCCAATCCTGTCTCTCTCCCTCCTTCTTTTTAAAGATTTTATTTATTTATTTGGGAGAGAGAGAGAGATTGAGAGAGCATGAGCAGGGTGGAGGGGCAGAGGGAGAGAGAGAAGCAGACTCCCCACTGAGCAGGCAGCCCGACGTGGGGCTCGATCCTAGGACCCTGGGATCATGACCTGAGCCAAAAGCAGACGCTGAACCGACTGAGCCACCCAGGCACCCCCAATCCAGTCTCTCTTTTTAGACAAGTGGGAATTCACTGGCTCAGTCCCTTATCTGGACAAATCAGGTGTTCTGGGAACCAAGACCCACTGTATTGGGAGGGAGAAAACCTAAGCAGAGCTTTGACCCTGCTGCTGATAAGCTGAGTACCTCTTGTACAAGGAGTTTCAATCCCTAAGGCTCAGTGTTTAATTTCTAAAAACGAGCTACTTTAAGATCAAAGGCAAACAGAAAACTGATTAAAAAAAAAAAAAAGAACAACAACAAAAAAAACCCCCAAACCCCTGCAACTTATAGAACTTATTTTTCTAATACATACTATAAATTAATGAAGACAAACAGGCAAAAAAAAAAAAGAGGAATGGAAAATTTATAGAAAAAGAAATACAGTGATGCACAGATATAGAAAAAGATTCTCAGCTTCACTCATAAGAGAAAATTAAAACTCCATCAAAGAGACATTTTTCGGGGCGCCTGGGTGGCTCAGTTGGTTAAGCAACTGCCTTCGGCTCAGGTCATGGTCCCGGGGTCCTGGGATCGAGTTCCGCATCGGGCTCCCTGCTCTGAAGGGAGCCTGCTTCTCCCTCTCCCACTCCCCCTGCTTGTGTTCCCTCTCTCGCTGTGTCTCTCTCTGCCAAATAAATAAATAAAATCTTTAAAAAAAAAAAAAAAGAGGGCGCCTGGGTGGCTCAGTTGGTTAAGCGACTGCCTTTGGCTCAGGTCATGATCCTGGAGTCCCGGGATCGAGTCCCGCATCGGGCTCCCTGCTCGGCAGGGGGTCTGCTTCTCCTTCTGCCCTCTTCCCTCTCGTGCTCTCTGTCTCTCATTCTCTCTCTCTCAAATAAATAAATAAAATCTTTAAAAAAAAAAAGAGACATTTTTCACTCAAAGATTAGCAAAGATAAATTTGCTGGATTAGTGGAACTCACTGGATTAGTGACAGTGAGGGAAATAGTCCCTTTCACACTTTCATACAATGTTGGTAGGACTAGAAATTGGTACAGGTCTATGGAAGGCAATGGAGCAGTGTCAACAAAATTACAAACGCATACACCCTTTCACCCAGCAATTCCACCTGTAGGAATCTTAAAAAAAAAAAAAAAAAAATATATATATATATATATATATATAAGTTTTTCACATAAAATGGACATTTTTTCATACTTTAATATGCTAACTGCTTTTTTCTTTAGCACATTATTTTTTTAAAGATTTTATTGATTTATTTGAGAGAAAGCACAAGCAGGGTGAGGGGCAGAGGGAGAGGGAGAAGCAGGCTCCCCATGAGGGAGCCTGATGGAGGGCTCGATCCCAGAACCCTGGGATCATGACCCGAGCTGAAGGCAGATGCTTAACCGACTGAGCCACCCAGGTAGCCCTCTTTAGTATATTATTTATGTTCTTTGCCCATTTATCTTTTGGAATCCCAGGGTTTTTCTTATTAATTTGAATGATCTCTTTATATAGAACAGATATGAACTATTTGTCAGTTTTGCTGCAGGAGTGTTTTTCCCATGGTATTTTTTTTTTTTGGATCATGTGAAATTTTTATATATGAAAATCTGTTCATCTTTTCTTGTGCAACTGATTTAATCTTGTCTCTCTAGAAAAATCTATATCTTTTTAGAGGTTTAATACGTACTTAATTCCATTTTCTTTTGGATTTTCTTAGTCTATTTTGAACATATTTTATTCATTAATCCATCAGTAATTTATTTTATTGTATGTTAGTCTAAAGTGATTTTTCCCCCCAAGCTAAGTTATCCCTATTCCGTTTAATAAATGAGCCTTTTGCTATCAGTTTACAAGGCCACATCTATTACATCTTAAACTCTTATAGAATAGTCTTATTCTGTTCCACTGATTTCTCAATTCTTGTATAGTTCTGAATAGCATATAACAATAACTCCAGAACCTTTTCTTTTTAAAGATTTCTGGGAATAAAGACTCCTAGCCTTCCTAAGTGGCCTGCTCTGATGTTTGTATCATGAGTCTACAAGGAGCAATCAATTGCTTAGCACCACAAGCCCTAAGTAGAAAAAGCCAGTATGGGGACGCCTGGGTGGCTCAGTCGGCTGAGTGTCTGCCTTCGGCTCAGGTCACGATCCCAGGGTCCTGGGATTGAGTCCCACATTGGGCTCCTTGCTCAGCCGGGAGCCTGCTTCTCCCCCTGCTTGTGCTCTCTCTCTCTGACAAATAAATAAAATCTTAAAAAAAATTTTAAAAAGCCAGTATGGTTTGCTCACTATGGGCATCTTAATAATTAAACCAGCACAAAAAGAAGGAAGAACGACAATCTTTCTTATAGACCAAATTCCATCTGCAGTGAAATCCAAGGAATGGCCCCAATTCTTTCACTGCATTAGAATCACCTATCAAATTCTTGGCAAAAAGCAGTTATCTGTTTTCATTAGACTTTTAGGTTGTGAGAGTATTTGTTCAAAGATCTGACCTATGAAAAGGTCTGAGAAGAAAGAAAACAGAAAGATATCAAAACATGGCACACAGCTCTCGAAAGGGTGTCCAGAGCCCTGGTGGGGGCTGGGTTTGTGTGGGCTGCATCCCCTCCGTGGTGACACTGCCAGAGAACGGGGTCCTGGGGGTAGCCCCCAAATGTCCAGGGAGCTTTCATGAGGGGGTGGAATTTCAGTTGCTACTTAACTGGTAACAGAGGACCTACTGGGCTCTGGGGGTAGAGCGTTCTCAAGTAGACAGCACAATCTGAGAAGAGGCATGGAAGGGAGGAAGAGCAAATTAGCCCAGGGGGCGCCTGGGGGGCTCAGTCGGTTAAGGGTCTGCTTTTGGCTCTGGTGGTGATCCCAGGGTGCTGGGATCGAGTCCCGCATCGGGCTCCCTGCTCCACGGGGAGCCTGCTTCTCCCTCTGATCCTTCCCCTCCCCCTGCTCATGCTTGTGTGCTCTCTCCTCTCTCTCTCAAATAAATAAATAAAATCTTTAAAAAAAAATTAGACCAGAGAGAGTGCTCGTGGCTCAGAGCGAGTGTAGCGAAACAGATGGAGATCATACAGCAACGATGGCATCGAACTGTCTGTGCAAGGCCTTTGCGAGTGAGGGTGTGACTCTTAAGACTTAGCAGGGGGCAGCCAGCTTTTTCTTAAAGGCCAGACGGTAAATATTTTAGGCTTTGTCATAACTACTCAACTCTGCCACTGCATTGCAAAGGCGGCCATACACAATATGTACGTGAATGAGCGTGGCCATGTTCCAGAAAAACTTTATTTACACAACCAGTCACCCAGCAGTAGTTTGCCAAACCTGAATATAGTATTAAAAGGAAAGATACTATAGGACCCTAGGGATGATTATGTCAGGCTGTGGCCCAGAGAGGATTCCAGCTTTTGATCAGAAAGCCTCATGATGATAATATATGCCCATTCCCATTGTGTCTCTGTGGAACAACCTCTAGGAAGGGGCCTGACTTTGTTGCAGAGGCAAATAGAGTCTCCCTAATCTTATAAATATTGGATTCACGATGGACCCAGCAAAAGATCTGTGGTGTCCAAGAAAGAAAAGCAGACAAGAACTCTCTGTTGAAACTTCATGAGTTCTTTCAGGGAACCGAGTGGGATGGGCCCTGGCCAGGGGGCTTCCTGGTGGGGAGGAGAGGGAAACTACGTGCCTCCCTAGAGGGAACTGACCTGGACTTAAGCCAGGGTTCACTCACCCTTCTCGTCTGAGAATGGTGGCTGATGGCTTAACTCCTTCCTGTCCTGCATTGTCCCTGTCTTATTGCCTCAGGAAACAGTGATGTAAGGAGACTAAAAGGGTCCTTGATACAAAATATCTCATCTCTTCCTTACCTCTCTCAACCTCATTCCTACTTTTTTTTTTTTTAAGATTTTATTTATTTATTTGACAGAGAGAGTGAGAGCAGGAACACAAGCAGGGGGAGTGGGAGAGAGAGAAGCAGGCTTTCTGCAGAAAAGGGAGCCCAATGCGGGGCTCGATCCCAGGAGGCTGGGATCACGACCTGAGCCGAAGGCAGACGCCCAACGACTGACCCACCCAGGTGCCCCCCTACTCTCTTTTATAGAGGCCTCCTCCAAGGACTCAGGTGTCATTCTCACAAGCATATACACATTTTTCATATACGTCCACAGGTACACATATTTCCATAAACACACATAGAAATACATAAGAAGGCATACATGCACATTTCAACAATTGGGACGTTATACTAATGTAAAGAAAAACATTACATTTAAACAATGAAATACCATACAGACAATAAAAATTGTTTTTAAAAAGAAATTAATGATGTGGGGAAATACTCAGGATAAATATAAAAGACCAGCAAAAAGTATATATATATCATCCCAAGTCTTTTTTTTTAAAAGATTTTTTTTTTTTTAAGATTTTATTTATTTGACAGAGAGAGACACAGCAAGAGATGGAACACAAGCAGGGGGAGTGGGAGAGGGAGAAGTAGGCCTCCCGCCGAGCAGGGAGCCGGATGCGGGGCTCGATCCCAGGACTATGGGATCATGACCTGAGCCGAAGGCAGACGCTTAACGACTGAGCCACCCAGGCGCCCCAAGTCTTTTTTATGTACACACACACACACATGCACACTAACAATTCATTATAGAAAAAAAAAATCCCCAATTTTGGATGAGTTTTATATTCTTCATTACACTTTTCAGTATTTAAAAAAACTTTTTAAAAAGATTTTGTTTATTTATTTGAGACAGAGAGAGTGAGCATGAGAAGGGGGTGTCAGAGGGAGAAGCAGACTCTCCACTGAGCAGAGAGCTGGACATGGGGCTCGATCCTGGGACTCCGGGATCATGACCTGAGCTGAAGGTAGGTGCTTAACCAACTGAGCCACCCAGGCACCCCTAAAACACCTTTTGTGATGAGAATGCTGTGATAAGATGAAATAAGGTTATTTTTTTTTTTTAAAGATTTTATTTATTCATTTGACAGAGAGAATGAGATAGAGAGAGCATGAGAGCGGGGAGGGTCAGAAGGAGAAGCAGACTCCCTGCTGAGCAGGGAGGCCGATGTGGGACTCGATCCGGGGACTCCAGGATCATGACCTGAGCCGAAGGCAGTTGCTTAACCAACTGAGCCACCCAGGCGCCCGAAATAAGGGTATTTTTAAAAAGAACATAAAATGAAAAGCCTAATTCTCTATATTTACCAAACACACAGAAATAGTACTTATGTTGCAGGTACTAGACTAAGTGGCTTATAAGTATGAATTATTTTTTTAAGATTTTATTTATTTATTTGACAAAGAGAGCACAAGTACTGGGAGGGGGAGAAGCAGACTCCCCGCTGAGCAGGGAGCCTGATGTGGGGCTCGATCCCAGGACCCAGGGATCATGCCGAGCCAAAGGCAGACACTTAACCAACTGAGCCACCCAGAAGTCCCTACAAATATGAATTAATCTTCAGAAGACCCCTAAGAGGAGAGTACTATAATTGTTTCTATTTTATCAACGACAAAGCTGACACATGTAGATGAGATCAGTTGCCTGGCCACACAGTTAGCAAGTGGTCTAGGCAAGTTCTGAATGCAGGCCGTCAAGACTCTAGAACTTGCACACTTGACCAGATAACTGCCTCTCTGTAGCTACGGCTAAGTGATGTACGATTTTTTGGTGGGAGATGGTGTGGGTGGGCTCTCAAGGCAACCAGAGAATGCTAGTTACTGATACGTTTTGTTCCCTAATGTCTTCCATGTCAGTACATAAGAAAGAAAATGCCTCAGGGCGCCTGGGTGGCTCAGTCGGTTAAGTGTCTGACTCTTGATCTCAGCTCAGGTCTTGATCTCAGTGTCGTGAGTTCAAGCCCCACATTGGGCTCTATGCTGGGCGTGGAACTCACTTAAAAAAAAAGTCTCGTGTTAGCCTAGATTTCCTTTATTATAAAAATTAGTTCCTACCACATTTACTGTGCTATTCTAGGTGTGGGAATGGTGGGTAACACAAAGCAAGGACAGAAAATGGCCCCTTCTCAGGAGCTTGCATTGTGCGTCGATAAGCATTAGCATCTGCCCCCAACTGCACAACTGCTCCTTTCTGTCTGTCCAGCTGACCCTGACCTCTGTACTGGGACTGGGCACGATCTTATTAAATGAAAATCCCAAAAGATGTCATAGGATCTTCTGGAGACTGACAGAGGAGGTCGCCACAGAGGGACTGCTTCGGTAAAGTCTAAGGTCCCAGATGTAGCCCAGATGTGGCAGACGCTCCATGAATATTTGATGAGCTAAACAGAGGAAGTGGTGAAGTCTGCAGCTGTCCCCCAGAATGGGGGCACCAACCAGACACCCAGACGTGGGAGAGCAGAGGAACGAGCGTGGACACCGTGTCCTGCTGATGACTTGTGAAGGGCTGAAAGCAGCCTGCATGTATCGGTGGCAATCGGACACGCACCCTGGGCAACCGGATTGTCCTTCTGCAGGATCGCTGCATCTGGACCTCAAGCTCTTCTTGACGTGGTTACCTACTGTGCTTAGCTGTTCTGGTGACAGAGGACCGGGATTTGCTCTAGCTTGGCAGGAAGGGGAAGAAAAGGGCTGTTAAGTCCTTGTTCTTGGCATTAGGGAGGAGCACCCGGCTCGGAGCGCACAGCTGCTGTGGGCAGATGTTGCTCATTGTTCCTAAGAGGCGAGCAGTGCCTTCCCAGCACGAAGGGGAGAGCAGGGGAAAGCGAGGTGGGACGTGAAGGGGCAGACCGAGTTGTGACAGCCTTCCTTCTGTTAAGCCAAGCTGATCCACTATGGGAAATGAAAGATTTCCTGAATGTTGAAGGCATCTGTAGCCAATGAAAACACATTTCAGAGGCAAGTAGGAACTGTCTGCTAATGATCTGTTGTGCTGGATTATTCATGAGAACACTCTTCCATAGGAAGAGCAAAATAGCAGTTAACTGGCTTTGGCAAGAATGACAGGAATTGGTTTGGTTAGGTGAGATCCACCCTTCATGATGGATTCTACCTTCAACTCTCTTCAGGAAGACTTGTGGCAGAAAGACTCTGTGTGTGACCACTGAGCACAAAAGGCATGCCTCTTGTGCAGACCCCCCACGCGCCAGGAAATGCTGTCCTCACCTGGGGCCCAGAGGGGAACGTGGCTTCCTTTCTTAGGCTGGAAATAGATCCCTGCAGTGGGATTTAAACTGATACTTGCAGCCTGGATTTGGCCTTCCTTTACTTAATTTCTTGAACAACTATACATTGTATAACAACTATGTATAGGGGACACAAAGAAACATATTATTGAGGAACTTGAGGAATTCATAATGTAGCTGGGGAGATGTTTTTAAGATACATTCTATGACTTAAATCAGATTTCAAATCATCAAAGTAAGAGATATCACAATGTGGTATACACAATTTGGTATAAAATGAACACTTTGGCCCACAGAGGAAGAAGTTCCAGGGGCTGGAATAGCCTAGAAGCTTCCTGAAGTGATTGATCTGGGTGCTAAAGGATGGGGAGAGAAAGGCAAGAACCAAGGGCAGACGTAGAAATGACCTAGCACAGGGGTGGGCAAAATACAGCCTGTGGGCCGTATCTGGCCCACCATCTGTTTCTATATAGGCCATGACCCAAGAACAGTTTTTACATTTTTAAATGGTTGGAGGGGCGCCTGAGTGGCTCAGCTGGTTAAGCATCTACCTTCGGCTCAGGTCATGATCCCAGGCTCCTGGGATCGAATCCCATGTCGAGCTCCCTGCTCAGCGGGGAGTCTGCTTGTCCCTCTTCCTCTATCCCTCCGCCCTGCTCATACTCTCTCTCTCTCAAATAAACAAAATCTTTAAAATATTTTCAAATGATTAGAAAATAAGTAATATTTCATGATGTGAAAATTACACAAAATTCAAATTCTGGTGTCCATAAATAAAGTTTTACTGATACACGGCACATTCATTGGTTTGCATATTGTCTCACATTGTCTATGGCTGCTTTGCAGTACAATGGCAGCACTGAGTCGTTACAACAGAGATTCTCTAGTTACTTTCTGGTCCTTTAGAGGAAACGTTTGCCAATCCTGGGCCTCTAATATGAGAGGGGCAATTAATTGGCTCTTGCTGGAGGGGAGTTTTGTATGTAGGAAATGTAGGAAATTCAATAGTAATGGGTGCCCAGGGATCAGTTATGAAGGATTATTTAATGCCAAGCTAAGGAATATGAACTCAGACTTATAGGCAAAGCGTTGAAATTATCATGTACATGACTATAGTTGTATTATCTCTATGTACATAGTACAAAATTCCAAAAGGTTCAAAAGGATATTCTGTAAAAAATGTCAGTTTTCTACCTTGACCTGGACTCAACAACTCCACAGATGTAGCCACTTACTCATTCTTAGGTTTCCGTACAGAGATAATCTTCTACATACACAAACATATATGAGTTGGCATATATGTGTATTTTTCTATTTAAAACCCCACAAATGGTAGCATGCTATAAAAGTACTGTTTCTGCACCAGAACTTTCAGTCTTATATTTTAGACTTTGTTTTAGGTCAGGACATTCTCCTTTATAGTTGTATAATATGGGTGTACTATCTTATTTTCTCAGTTTGACCCAGAAGCTAAAATATTATTTTAGGATGCTTGGTTGAGCAGAGGGGTTCCAGGAAAACTAGAGGCAGAAGAGCAGGCAGGCAGCTGATACGCACATCCAGGAGCCCAGCAGTGAGGGTGGCCTGGCATTCCAGCGTAACCCAGAACTCCAGGCTGCTCAGGGCCATCGTGCTGGGGACCCCTCTCCCCACACTGCTCCCCTGGGGACTCATACCTTGGAGGGTGTGTCAGGAATGGAAGAAGTGGGAGAACCAGGAAAGGTCAAGACACATTTCTTCCCCAGGCAGCGACCATGTAAGTCAACGTCCTCGTAAGGGTTTTCCTTCATTGGCGGATCTGTGGTCAGAGGAAACAAGTCAGGAACTGGGAACATTAAGGAAGTTTTCCTTATCAGATATCTACCCAACATCTTGGTCTCTCCTTGTGGGGATGTCTGATGTCTTGCTATCCATTCATCCCCTTCCTCTTGGACCCTGATTTTTACTGGGGTAACTTCCCATGTCCTCATTCTTAGATGTACAGAGTTAACTCCATTCTGAGTTGCAGTGCTTTAGCCAATCTGAGTATTCCCAGTCCCTGCCTCAGTGTCCAGTTCAGGGAAGGGCTCCTATCCCAAGCTTACGCCAATCAAGGCATGGGACTCCTGGGCTGCGAAGGTGAACAAGGGACCTAAACCGGTCTCGTCAGAGTCAGAGTCACAGTGAACCCCTGGATTTTTGTTGGGTACAGGACACGGGCTCTCCTTCCCAACCAAAAGGTACAGATCCCAGGGAGTTGATGGCAGCCGTCATGGAGATCATGAGAAACCTGCTGGGCATGGAGCCAACCCAAGAGATAAGAAACGGGGAGAACAGGCCAGTTCTGGTCATATAAGCCAACAAACTCCCTTGTTATTTCAGCGGGGTCTTCTGTTCTCTGTCTCTGAGAGCTTCCCTGTCAGGTACACACTGAAGACCAGATCTCATACCCACTTTGGACTTGGGAAGCTTACTACTTTGGCAGCAACCCATCTCCACAACCTGGATACTATAATTCAGATCATCTATGGTGAAATTCATAGCTCAGCTAAATAAGCGCCTTCTTCAGGTCTCATGTTTCCTCCCACCATGGAGTTTTTTCTCTGCTATTGGTGATTACATGCACATATGCATGTGTGTATATGCCCTACCTGCCCCTTGCATGTGGTCGCATATGGGTTTCTCCTTCTTACCAGCTCCTTTCTTCCCTGACTCACCGCCTTCGACCCCAACAAGCAGATGCTGGGCTGAGTTCACACTTCAGTGAAACTGTGATGTTCCCTACAGAGTATGTGACTCACTAATTTAAATGCAAACAAACTCTGTGAATCTGAGCTCCACTTTAGAATTTAAAAGAATTAAGGCCAACATTATGTTTTAATAGTAGACATTCATTTGAGTCTGAATTTTGATGCCCTGTTACTGCCAGCCACACTCCTACAGATTCCAGGAGAGGGTGGTGGCCCGAGTTTTCCTTCATTCAGTAATCCTTACACTTTACTGAGCATCTGTGACACACGAGGTACTTTACATCCCATTCTCTCCCATCCCCCACCCTACCAGGTAGCTGTCATCATCCTTATTATACAGATGAGAGAACCGAAGTTCAGCGGAGTTCAGTCCCCAGCTCATTATCATACGAGCATCAATAGAGCAGAGTCGAGATTCAATCACGGCCACCAAGACTCCATGTCTCCAGTGTGTCCCACTGCATCGTGCTGCCCCCGTGGCTGTTCCTCAGCAGCCTTTCCACTCCCCTTCTGGCCCCATGCTCTCACATGTCCCTCGTGGGTCCCCCTCCCACACCCTTCCCAGCTGTCTCATTCATCTGCGTACACGTCTTCAAGACTCTGTGTGTGTGTGTGTGTGTGTGCGCTTCCAGCACTCTCTCCCCTTTCTCACAGACAAACTCATCCCCACACACTGCACGTGGGCCTCTTACCTAGAATGTCTTCATAGACGTTCTCCTCTGATAAAGTGCGTGTAAGCCCCAACTTAGTCTGTGCATACCAGTCCACCCTGCTGTTCTCAGAGGAAGACTGCAGTAAGTCTTCAAACTCATAGGACTTTCTGGTTTGTACAAGATGGGAGAAAAACAAACAAGAACTCGAATCAAATTAGGCTGGTCCAGAGATTGTATACCAAACAATTTTCTTCCTGCAAAAATTTCTATTACTGAAATCAACTCTGTTTCTTGTAAGAAGGTATAAAAATCCTTAAATAAGAAGTGTGGCTTTATTTGGAAGAATGTTTATTATGTTATGCCGAGTAAAGGTAGCAAAGTATATATATAAAGTACAATTCCTACTTCAGAAGTAAGTATATACATAGAAAAGAAGAAGAAGGGAAGGAAATGAAATATACAGCTACTATCTCAGGACGAATGGCTTGTGGCTTCTCTTCACTTTCATTTTTTCTGGACTTCTTAAATATTCTGCAATGTTTACAGAGCACACATTCATGATGGGAAAGGAGCAGCGATGGCCAGTTCAGAGTGGACGAGAGGCCTGGGCACCTCCCCACTTCTCTCACTTGAGTGGTTATTATCAGAACGAAACCCAGAGGCCAGCTGAGACACCCCAGCCCCCCCTCACCCCTCAGAGATGGGTGCAAGTACTTCTCTGTCTGTGGCCCGGCTCACTCTCTGGCTATCGCCCCCGCCTACATCCACAGGGGGCTGTCCCTGTCCTGCTGGTGCTGACCTAATGCGAAGTCCAGCCCCTTCTCTCTCTCTCTCTCACACACACACAGACAAACACACATACACACACAGCCACTCACTCTGAGTTTCTGTGATTTCTGTAGCTTCACTGAACATTTGGGAGGCCATGAGGTAGACCATATGGTGAAACACACAGAACCTCAGCCACCTCACTGGTTCAGTCCACCTCCTCTTTTTTCTTCTCTCTCCCTATCCTTCTCCAAAGTAACCCACAACTCCCCCACCACCCCCAGTTGGAGCAGAACTGCGCTGCCCACTCGGGCTCAGGAGGCTCCTCTTCTACCTCCAGCAGACTTGTCAAGAATTTGTATTGAACACACACAGGCCTTCATTGAATGGCGTTTAGGTGAACACGTAGTCTGCCCACACTCATCAGGGCACATCCCCCAGCTGGCTGTGACTTGGTCCTAGCCCTTCATTTCTCCTGGTCGAGGATGGTCATAACCCTCCTGTGGCTCTGTGCATGCACATCTAGCCCAGTGTCCTCTGCATGCTCCATGGTAAACTCTAGCTGACTACTGAGAAATGTATCATGTCTTCACTTCTTCACCCACACTTCCAGTCTCTCTGGCCCCTGGGGATTAAACACACCTGCATACAGATCCTGGATCCTTCATTCACAAGCCTTTTAACCTCAGACGAACCACTTAACTGGGCTGAAACTCACTGCCCTGACTTGAAAAACAGCAATTATCTCAGAGCATTGTCCAAAGAATAGAAATGAGAACATGTGTAAAGTCCTTAGCACTTGACAAACACGCAACAAATGTTAGCTATTGCTATTACTGTTGTGGTGCTAGTAATTATTTATGTAGCAAATGTTTTATGTTGAACATTTATTGTGGGAGAGGCACTGTGCTCAGGGTTCAATCACTAAGGAGTGACTGAAACAGTCAGGGTCCCTGTCTCAAAGAGCTTACATTCCAGGGAGGAAGACAGACATTCAACCAGAGCATGCACAAATAAACAGAACAGTAAACTGTGTTAAGCTCAGTGATGGAAAAGCACAGTGAGACTATCAAGGAGGCCTCATTTTAGGTTGGGGTTGCATCAGGAAGGTGGTGCTGACAAAGTCACTCATTAAAGCTGAGACCTGGAGGACAGAAGAAAGACCTCAGCTGGGGGAAGAGTGTTCCAAGAAAAGGAAAGGGCCACAGGGAACTTGGTGCATTTGTGGAGGGACACATACATTCGGCAAGGCTGCACTGCAGGGGCAGGGTGGTGAGTGCCAGGTGATGAAAAGGCAGTGCCAGGCAGGAGCCATTTGCCTGCCTTCCTCGCTTTGGTGGTTTCTAGCATTTAATTTTATTTTCTTGGTTTTTTTTTAAGTAGGCTCCACACCCAATGCGGGCCCCAAACTCACAACCCTGAGACCAAGACCTGAGTTGAGACCAAGAGTCGGACGCTCAACCCACTGAGCCACCAGGCACCCCTGGGATTTCTTACATTTTAAATCTTTTCCTCTCGGCTAGCTTCTTTCCCTATTTAAACACGCACAGGTTTCCCCTAGAAAAACTTCCACTGGAAGCAATGACCCTCGTAGTTCTGCGATTTCTCACCTTCCTTGCCAACATTTTAAAATGGCGTGGGTTGGGGGGCCGGGGGAGGAGGGACGAGCTTGAGGCTGTCTGACTATTCCTTTACTGGACCTCATTGGTTTTTCTTCCCTTTATCTTCTCAATCTGGCGTCTGTATGCATCCCTTTACTGAAGCGGCTCCCTGAAGCTCACTAGTGAGTTTCTGGTAAAACCTAACCACTTCCTGGGACCTTTCTTTGCAGGATACCACTTGGTTTCTGCAGCGTCTGGGAGCGGTGCTCAAAGTGCAATCTGTGGGCCAGGGCTGGTATTTCAATGCGACAGGTACAGAAATTGAGAATAAACGTTTAGAAACTTAAAAAATTTCTTTTGCTGGGGCGCCTGGGTGGCTCAGTTGGTTAAGCAACTGCCTTCGGCTCAGGTGATGATCCTGGAGTCCCGGGATCGAGTTCCGCATCGGGCTCCCTGCTCAGCAGGGAGTCTGCTTCTCCCTCTGACTCTCCTCCCTCTCATGCTCTCTGTCTCTCATTCTCTGTCTCAAATAAATAAATAAAATCTTAAAAAAAAAAATTTTCTTTTGCTTTTTTTTTTTTTAAAGTAATTTCTACACCCAGTATGGGGCTCGGACTCACGACCACAAGATCAAGAGTCACGTGCTCTACAGGTTGAACCAGGCTGCTGCCCCTGTGTTGAGAAACTTTTAAAGCAATTTGACAGAATAATTTCTTAAAAGACAACTGAAGCTTGCTTGTAGTGTGCATGCCCAAGTGGGGGGAGGGGCAGAGGGAGAGGGAGAGAGAGAATCTCAGCATACTCCCTGCTGAGCATGGAGCCCAATACAAGGCTCGATCCCATGACCCTGAGATCATGACCTGAGCCAAAACCAAGAGTGAGACAATTAACCGACTGAGCCACCCAGGTGCCCCTAAACACTCAGTGTTTTGTTTTGTTTTGTTTTTAGATTTTATTTATTTATTTGACAGAGAGAGAGCACAAGCAGCGGGAGTGACAGAGGGAGAGGGAGCAGCAGGCTCCCAGCTGAGCAGGGAGCCCCATGTGGGGTTCGATCCCAGGACTCTGGGATCATGACCTGAGCTGAAAGCAGACGCGTAACTGACTGAGCCCCCCCGGCGCCCCTCCACACTTAGTCTTTAGACACGGCCGTTAGAGTTGCCTCATGGATGTCATGTTGACTGGGACAGACTCATAATGACAGGGACAGACCACAGTGTGGCTGGTAAGTTAACTTAGCCACTAACTGGGTAAGAGCTGAGGGATGCTGTCCAGCCAGACGACTCTGGGGATCCCAGTCAGTCCTGCAGAAGATGGAAATTATTGAATCAGTAACAGCAGGCATGTGATTTGGCAGCCATATAATGACCAAGGTTTCACATCCTCCAAAAGTTCTCCAAGTCCTATGCTAAAGCTATACAATGCCAAAATAATTAGTTGAAAAGCTGAAATTTTGGTCAACATAGTTATTTGGTTTCATAAAGATCTAAAAACTCCATCATAGGATCAAATTAAACTAAAATTAAAAATCTGCATTCCAGTATGGTGATTAACATAACATAATAAAAAAAAAATCTGCATTCCAGTTCAAACATTTGGGGCATATAGATACATGTGAATTCAGGATGCTGCTTACACTTACAAAATAGTAACTTTCCTTGTTAAATGTTGGCTTTAAGGCATTCCTGCCAGAGTTATTCAGCACATGCCACAGAACATACACAACCAAGTGAGTGCTGCTGTAGGGACCTTATCTTTGGAATTTCCTGACATTTAAGGGTTTCTCATTTCCCATTTTAGGATCGAAGGCACAAGTCCTTGCATTTAATTTCCTGGGGCTTTAGAGAAATGAAGAAAGGAGAAAGGGATGAAAGGAGGAAGGGGAGAGAACACAGGAGAAAAAAGGGAAGAGAATGAAAAGAAAGAAGACATTTTCTCAAACTGAGAATCCGAGTCCACTGGTTTGGCTCCCTCAGAACTGGACTCATCAGCCTATGAAAATAAGCCCAATACATTCTCTGAAGTGTGCAGCCTGGCCATGTAATTCTAAACCCTCCCAACCTCAAAATCCTTAATCATTTCTTTCTTCAACCTTGGCTTGGCTCTCCTGCCTCAGAGAGGGCAGTAAGTCTGCCAAATTCTGAGTTGAGCCTCTTCTTTTTGTTAAGAGATAGGACCACAATAAAAAGTACACTTTATTTTTTTAAAGCAGAAAATGAACATCGTGCCCTAATCACCCCCATTGTACTATTTTAAACAAAAGGAAAAATCCAAAGCCAAAATGCTTAAAACACAGCTGATGCAACCATATTCAAATTGGCCAAGAAAAATTTCATCTTTGAACTGAAACTAAGTAACTTTAGCTGGTTTTAAAGAGAATGCTGGAAGACTGCAAAGAGCAGATGGTAGCTACGAGAGAAAAGATAATGGGAATAACTGTTCACCAGGTTCATCTGTCTGCCCCGTGATGACACAGGGGAAAGACTCTGATTTCTCAGAAGCAACCTGCCCCTGAGAGAGGGGGCCTTCCTGGAGGAACAGCCCAGAAAGGGCACGGAAGAGCCACTGTCAAGACACACTGGGGTCATGAGCAGAAAGGTCACTCCAGTACTTAGGCACGTGGGCTTTGGCACCAGTTTGGGAAAGGATTTAGAACTGGAGATGGATACAAGCTTTCTCAGAACATAAACAAGGAAGCCTCTAAGTTCTTCGATAGATCCTACATACCACTGATACCGAAGCCTGGTAAAGACAGTACAATAAGGGCGCCTGGGTGGCTCAGTTGGTTAAGCGACTGCCTTCAGCTCAGGTCATGATCCCAGGGTCCTGGGATCGAGTCCCGCATCGGGCTCCCTGCTCTGCGGGGAGCCTGCTTCTCCCTCTCCCACTCCCCCTGCTTGTGTTCCCTCTCTCGCTGTGTCTCTCTCTGTCAAATAAATAAATAAAAAATCTTAAAAAAAAAAAAAAAAAAAGACAGTACAATAAAAGTCAAGTAAACACCAGTCCCATTTATGGAATACTGACACAAAAATCTTAAATAAAATATTAGCAAACAGAATTCCGCAGTATATTAAGAGAGGAACAAACCTGGACCAAAGGGGAGTTCATTCCCAAAATGTAAGAATGGGTTAATATTAGGATATAAAGTCACTATTCATAGGTCAAAGGACAGGAACCATATGATCATATAAAGCTACTGAAAAGTAACTTGACAAAATCCAACATTCAATCCTAATTTTTAAAACTCCTAGTAAAAAAATATGTATAGGTGCCTGGGTGGCATAGTCAATTGAGCATCCGACTTGGTTTCAGTTGATTTCAGGGTCGTGAGATGGAGCCCTGTGTCAGGCTCTGTATTGGGCTTGGAGCCTGCTTAGGATTCTCCCTCTCCCTCTGCCCCTCTCCCTCCCTGTTACCCACTCAAGCGCTCTCTCTTTCTAAAAAAGAAAAAAAAATTTATTATTTTATTTTAGTTTTATTTTTTTTTAAAGATTTTATTTATTTATTTGACACACACAGAGAGACAGCTAGAGAGGGAATACAAGCAGGGAGAGTGGGAGAGGGAGAAGCAGGCTCCTGGTTGAGCAGGGAGCCCGATGCGGGGCTCGATCCCAGGACCCTGGGATCATGACCTGAGCTAAAGGCAGACACTTAACAACTAAGCCACCCAGGTGCCCTGAAAAAAATTTTTTTTAAATCATAAGGGGTGCCTGGGTGGCTCAGTCGGTTAAGCATCTGTCTTCGGCTGGGGTCATGATCCCCACATCAGGCTCCTTGCTTGGTGGGGAGTCTGCTTCTTCCTCTCCCTCTGCTGCTCCCCCTGCTTGTGCTCTCTCTCTGTCAAATAAATAAAATCTTAAAAAATAAAATAAAATAAAATAAAAAAGGAAGGTGAAAAAAAAAAGTGGTAACATTGAAAGATCTCCATGATATCCTAAGTAAAAAACAGTATATATAGCATGATTTCTTTTTTTTAAAGGACATAATTTCTACCTACCTACCTACCTACCTACCTACCTATCTGGAATATGCAAACTTTTTCCCTTGGAAGACAACATAAGAAATTATGTTTTTTGCAGCCGAAACAACCCTACCTGACAGATCGTGTTGAGTAGGAGAGTGACGTGATCGAATGTATTTCTAGAAAACTGCTCTGGCTGCTACGGAGGAGTACCTTGGCGTGGGAGGTGGATACGAGACAACTAAGCTGCTAGCAGAGTAGAGCAGAGGTAGTCAGATTCAAGATAATGTTTAAAACTAGAACTGAACAGCTTGCTGATAAATTAGATTAGGATTGTGTGAAAAAGAGAGGAATCACAAAACTCCTAGGTTTTGGCCTAAGTGCAACAAAGGGTGATGCCATTTAATAAGATGGCCATCATCTGGGGAGGAGATGCTTAGCAGTGGCTGGACTGGGAATTTAGGTTTGGACACGTTCAGTCCAAACTATTAGATAACCAAATGGAGACCCATGCAGGGGATGACTCTGCAAACCTTCGCTGGAAGAGGGAGCCAGGGCTGTACTGATACATGTGGGGGTCATAAGCATGAAACTGACATTTAAAGCCATGGGACTGAATGAGCTCATTTAGGGAGTGAGGCAGATGGAAGAGAGAAGTGTCTGCTCTGACCCAGGATGGTGTGTTGGGGGTGTTATTCTGACATTCGGAGGGAGAGGGGAATGGAACTGAGAAGGAGCAGTGTGTGAAAGCAGGACCCCCAGGAAAGTAGGTGATCTAGAAGCCCAGTGAACGCAGTGTTTCCAGGGAGGGAGTGAAGTTGTTCCTCCAACGCCAAGAGATGTCATGTAAGAAAAGAACAGAGAGGGTGCCTGGGTGGCTCAGATGGTTAAGCGTCTGCCTTCGGCTCAGGTCATGATCCCAGGGTCCTGGGATCGAGTCCCACATCGGGCTTTCCGCTCAGCGGGGAGCCTGCTTCTCCCTCTGCCTCTCTCTCTCTGTCTCTTATGAATAAATAAATAAAATCTTTAAAAAAAAAAAAAAAAGAAAGAAAAGAACAGAGAACTGGCAACTGGATTTAGTGAGATGGGGGGTCACAGGTGGCCTTGTGTCAAGAGCAGTTTCAGGATAAGCGGCAAAAGCCCAACTGCAGGGAGTCAAGGGGAAAACAGAAGGTGCAGAATGGGTGACCAGAGCAGAGACAACGGTTTTGAGTTTTGCTCTGTGGCTGGTTTCCAGGTTAGTGGGGATCAAACCAATTAGCACATCCCAGAAATGGGCCAGAAATTAGTTCTCAAAGCAGGAAAGAAATGGTTTCCAACACGCAAATTTGACCTTCAAGCGTGCACATGCTTTATTATCTAATGTACGATTTTGACATTAGAAAATATTTAGGGTGTGCCTCTTTACGTATAAGCGAGGAAACAGAAGCTTTGGGAGGTCGAACAACTTGTTCGAGGTCTTACAGATAGACGGCAACAGGGCCGAGGCAGACCCGGGCTGTGTTTCTAGAGCTCATACCAAGAAAAAACATGAAGAAAGGAGCCAGGGGATATTGGAAGCACCATGCACTAGTGGGGGACGGTAGTGGCAGATGAGTGTCAATTAGCATGAATTAGTCCATTGCCAGAGTTAACTGAGTTTTCGTTGAAGTCTTGGTTAGTGGCAGAAATACGAGTACTTATCATGTCCAAAAGGTAGATTTTCAAAGCCAATACCCACTTTGAGGACAGAGAACACAAAACACAGGCATCGCTTATCACGTCTCCGGGTTTCATCAATACACTGTCTCAAGCCATGAATGGTCTCGACCAACTACAAGATCCATCCGTTTAATAAAACCAGTAATTCGCCTGAGAGCAGCTGTGATGCCGCATAAACCACTGGAGCAGAGAGTCAGCCGTCACCTACCTGTGGTCAGCACTGGGTTTCGGCCTCCCGGTCCATAGTCTTCTGTTCACGGAGGAGGGCGGGGGGGAGGAGGGCAGGGGCGGGGGAGGTAGAGAAGGCAGAGGAGGCAGGTGCCTTTTATCCTTCTGGAAGCTGATGCCTGGGTTCCCGTCCTTGTCCCCTTCTCCATCGTGTTTGAACGTTCTCCGGGGCTTGGGCAGGGGGTTGATGAAGGGTTTTGCAGGGGAGCCCTCCGAGCTCCTGTCCACACCCTCCAGGATCTGGTCGCAGGGACTCCTGCAGGAGCCTTTCCTTTCCTCTGCGGCCTCAGGAGCGGGCTCCCTGGCCTCCAGGTCCCAGTGGTGGGACCTGAATTCCGAGCCACGCCCGCCCCCACGGTTCTCAGGAAGGGCAGGCCCATCCTCAGCCTTATCTGGCAGGCAGTGTGGGGAGTAACAAGTCCCAGGTAACTGGGGATCCAACCCCGCCGACCCATCCTTCAGAGCCTGCTCCAGTTTCTTGACCTGCCTCAGCACGGAGAGGCTATCGTTTGGAAAGCGCTGCTTGCCCAGCCTGGGCTCTCGGCCTCTGCCCAAGCTGGGTGCCAGCTGCCCAGCTGGTTGGCTGAGGTCTTGCCTTGGCTCTGCATCCTGTCCCCCGACTTTCACGACCCCTTTATTCCTCTCATTTTCTTTGCTCTCTGTCTCGGGCCTGGTTCCATCCTGAACCTCCGTGACCCATGCTCTCACACCATCACTGCTTCTCCTCCCCATCACACAGGACATCAGGTAGTCCTCCTGCCCATCTGCTTTCCTGCCGGGTGCAGGAGTAGGCAACTCCTTTTTCCCTTCCCATTCGGATATCTTGTCCTTTATGCTGAGGGGCTTGTTCAGGGCCCCGCCTCGGGGAGGAGGGCAGGGGTTCTGAATGCCACTGAGCTGCCCCTTGCCCGCCTTGCTGGCTTCTTTAGCACTGAGATCTGAAGCTGGGTCACTGATGATCATATTTGAGCTGAACATGTTCTGCTGAAAACAGTCCACTCTTGACTCTAGCATCAGGTTATTGAGACTTTCCAATGAGCTTCTTCTGGGGGGTGAATCCTGATCAGTCTCTGGGAAAGGAATGGGGGACTTAAATGGCAGCCTTCGAGGGTCTTCCCCAGCCTTTGGACCTTCCACCTTGACCCTAAACAAGAAAGACAAACACTGGGTGATGGATTCTTAGTCATTGTTCTCGGCTGGTCATAGAGATTGGCTAGAACTTAGATCTAAATACTATATGCTAATTGTAAGTCACAAACATTGAAACCGCCATTTTAAGGAATCACTTTGCTCTTCTTGGGAAGACAGTATTGTAGAATGAAAGGAACTACTGGATTTTGGAATGCAGTAGACTTGAGTTTAAAGCCTAATTCAACCACTGACCAGCTGTGTGACCTTGGACAAACTGTTTCACTTCTCTAAACCTAAGTGTCCTCATCTGTGAAATGGGAATAATAATAATATACATCTACCAGAGTGGCTGAAAACACTGAAAGAGGCAGACCATATTAAGCATTTAGCATGTCGTGAGTGTACAATAAATGTTATTATCATTATTGTTAGCTTGTTTCCCTGATGAAAATAGGGAACATCTCCTGAGGTAAAAGCTTACACAGTCCAGATTTGCTCTGCTTCTGTAATCAACGGATGGGCCTTTGTGATGACTATTTAAAAATTAGAACAATGCCATAAGTCATACAATGTTTGCTAATTCTGGGCTTCATAAGCTCTCCTGACTTGAGTAGGTAAAGCCAAAATTATTGGCTGCATTTGAATTGGACCTCCTCTAGAATGTGAGCCCGACTAGACTGGTTTCTCATGTGGACAGGGATTGTTTCGTTTTGTTGGATTACTTTGAATTTTGGCCTATCTGGGCTACTGCTGAATCCCCAGCACCTAGAACAATGGCAGAGTAGTAGAACATGGTACTCATTAGGCACATGTGACATCCACATTGGACAGAGCAAAAGAATATTTCCATCATCGCTGAAAGTTCTGGCCTAGAACAAACATGTGGGGAGATATGCCTCCCAATGTGATTTTAGGGGATTAGTCAATGCCATGAAGATGTTAAAAGCTCTTTTGAAAGAAAACCAGGAAAACATTTTTAAGCTAGTCTAATGAGAACGGGAGTATCTGTTTCTGAATGCAAAACATTCTTCCACCAGCAAAGGTCATAACTAAGTGGAGTGATCTTGGATGTGCCAAGATTAGCAAGGACGCACTGACCAACTTCATGGTGCATATTTTTTGAATATATAGATCTGACTATATAGGAATTCTGAAACTCCAGTTAAGGTTCACAGTGAGGAATGAATAATTAGCAATTTCATGCATCCTGTTACTATTTAGCTTTCTGCTCCAAAGACTAATAATTGTTTACACGAAGACTTCTCCCTCCATTGGGACTTTAACACGTAAATTGCGTTGCTATTTGTGGTTGCACAGCATAAATTAGAAACTTGTGAATAGGCAAACACATTTTCATATTTTAAATACAGCTATCAAAGCAGAATTCCTTACTTAAATAAACAATTAGCATGCATAACAGAGCGCTTACAAAAGAGAAACACATTTTTTAATTGTCCTGTCACCACTGAGGACATTAGCATGAATTCAGATTTTAGTCAGAAGCAAAAGCAGAATCAGTTTGTTGATATTTTACTGAGCGTTCAAAAGGCAGAAGTTAAAGCCCTCACTCTCACAGTGCTAGAAGCAAGGTGACAGGACAGACACATAAAAACACAATTCATTAGTTCTTGCTTAATGACAATGGATGATATAACAATAATCATATATATCATACATACTGGTTTCTTTTTAAGGATTTATTTATTTTAGAGAGAGAAAGAGAACACAGCATGAGTAGGGGGAGGGGTAGAGGGAGAGGGAGACTGTCCAACAGACTCCCCACTGAGCCCCATGCAGGGCTCGATGCAGGGCTCGATCCCACGACATGAGATCATGACTGAAATCACAGGTCGGACACTTAACCGACTGAGCCTCCCATGTACTGTTAACAATATTGACAACAGATAAATATGGCTTTCAAGTCAGAGGCACCTCGGTTTGAATCTTGGCTGTATTTTTTTCATTTTAAAGTAAGAACTCTCGGGGCACCTGGGTAGCTCAGTTGGTTGAGTATCTGACTCTTTCTTTTTGTTTGTTTGTTTTTGAGTATCTGACTCTTGATTTTGGCTCAGGTCACGATCTCAGGGTCATGAGATCAAGCCCTGTGTCGGGCTCCACACTGAGCATGGAGCCTGCTTAAGATTCTCTCTCTCCCCCTCTCCCTCTACGCCCCCGTGCCAAATAAATAAATAACTCTCTCTTCCTTCCCTAGACTGGAACTTGACTGGTGCAGAGGCCAAATTCATCTTGTTTGCTGTGCCTAGTATGCAGTAAATAGTCAAAAAATACTTGTAAGATGAATGAGTGGATGAGTCAATACATGTTAACATTCCCAGAGTACAGCACACATTCTAATTCTTGATATTACTAAATGGCAAGGAGTGTTGCAATGATTATAGTTATTGTCTAAGATCCCAGACATCTGGGGTGACCTCACAATCACGGAGGCCTATGTGAAAACTGAAAGAGAAGAAGGATGGCTTGCTGGAAGACTGTATGGATTTATGAAGTTCAAGCGAGAGGCAAGGATGATGAAGCCAGAGGCAGAGGGTCCTCTCCATGTGGTTGTTGCACCCAAGGATTTTTTGAGGTTCTGTTTCCAGAAGGACGCTATGGCCCCAGAAGGGGCCAGGGACTGGGGTGCAGAGCTGTGGTCACCAAGCCCACCGTAGAGTGTGAGACAGAGAGTCAGAGGAAAGGGCTCCATCTGGAGAGAAAACAGCACTGCTGAGACAGGATGGGCAAAGCTGACTTTGCAGACAGATGCAGCTGTAAAGATGTAAGGCTCGAGGATAATTAAAAAGCCCATGCATCCTAGTAGTTAGGAAAACAAATCCCGGGATGGAATGGGGAGAGGGCCTGAAGCTGCCATGGGCCCGTCCTCTCCACAACTGGACACCAGTCAGATCTTCCACTGACCACTGTGGTCTCAGGTTCTGCAGCGCGTGGGGATGATTTCCAGGAGGCTCATCGCAAGGACTCGGAAAAGAACCCGTCCTTAGTCCAAGGAAGTGGGGATAGAGAGGAGGGAAAGGCAGTAGAGAAAGGAAGGAAGTGGAGAATCTAGGCTAACGTCTACACTCTCAGGGGAGAAAAGCTCTTACTTGTCAGCCAATTTGTAGCTCAGGCTTTCAGTCTGGATGTGGCTGCCCTTGGCTGGCCTGCACACTGTCATCATGTCAGCACCAAGAGGAGCTCCAAGTCGCCTGGGGGAACAGGGATGCACACTCAGTGAGTCACGACAGCAAATCTAGGGCCCACACCCCAAACTATTTATCCCTGTTAGAGTCCACCCGGGAGTGGGGCGGGGTGGGGGGGGCGGGATGTCTAACTGCAACACACCCTCCAGAATCCCTGACCCAGGAGAGGGGGCAAGGGCACAGAATCCTGAGATCCTCCTGGATACAGACCCCATACCAACCACCCTCTTCTCAGACCGCATGCCAATCTCACGTGTGTCTGTGCATGCGCACGTGTGTGTAAGCAAAACATAAATACCAGCACAACCTGACACTTTTTCAGGCTCTCTAAAACCTGTGATGAGCTAATAGTCGCCAAAGAAGACATGAGTCGTTTCTTTACTTGAAACAAGAAATATACCACCTGCCAAAGCAGAAACATCTGCACAGAGGTACTCCTGTGCTGGCGCTCGGGCAGGCATGGACGCACCCCATCCTTGGCCTTGGAGCCCTGCCAACCCAGGGAAGAAAACACGTAGCCACTAGGTCATCTGTCTGGTCTAAGGAAAAGTAGGTGGCTCTGGCAAACCCAGGAATCCCACGCGCCTCAAACCTGCCGAATATTAAGGACCACGTGGATGCCAAAGCAGCGGCCTCAGCGCAGTGGTGGTTTTATGACACGCCAGTGCCTGACGTTCAAATGAAGTGAAGTAGCTGATTAAAATGCATAATTTCAAGAGCAAGGCCCATCAGAACTCTGTGTCTTCAACGTGAGGACAAATGGACATTGCTCAGGTGGACGTGGCTAGGAAGCTGAGACCCAGCGGAGAATGGAGGACGCCAACAGGATGGGAGATGCAAGTCTTCTGTAAGGCATGAACACTGCATGGCTGGTCCCTCCTGATGGGGATGAGGTGACTCTTTGACTTGAGGTTCAAGGAGTACTGAGATACTGGAGATTCACATTTCTTTTCCACTGACCCTCAAGGGAATCCCTCTCAAGTTCCAAGATTTCCATCCCCTCTCCCAGGAGAGTTTCCCTGCCAGGTGACAGGGTGGCTGCCCAAATTCCTGGCCTAGGCATCCCCATCCTGCAAGAAATCAAAGGGCTGGACTTCAAGACATGCATATAACTCCTGGGAATAAGGAGAGGGAGGCCAGAAGCAGGAAGAGGAAAAGAAAAGGAGAGTGAGCTCTGGGTAACAAATTAAAAAGAAGGGGGTTGGGCCTGGTGAGCTGAAAAGACAGGAAGAGAATAGGCTGGTCCAAGAAGGTGTGAGTTTGGGGAGGGGGGCAGAGCTTAGGACTGCCCACGGAGCTCAGCTGCCCCTTGCCCAGTCACATGGCACCCTACCTTTTGGGGTACGGCAGTGCTGAAAGCAAGCCCAGCTCTTTAAAGAAGTCAGGCCTAGGACTCTCCCCTCCCGTTATGGAAGAGAGCCCCGAAGGGCCTTTCAGAACAGGAAGGAACTCATCGCCTCTCTCATAACGCTCCACAAAGCTTCTGGTCAACTATACTTCAATAAAAAAAAAAAAGAAAGAAAAGCTTCTGGAGCCTCTCCATTTGGCTGGACTGAAAGACACTGCCCTTCTGTCCTGCATCTGGCAGAGGGCCCGTTGGATGTCAAGGACAGGGGCCGCTCCCCCCACTGCCTCCCTCATGCCTGCACTCTGCACCCACACAGCCAACCGCAGGGATGCAGCCTTGTTCTGCGTGAGCAGCAACTCTCTCCACCACCCTCTTCTTCCAAGCAGACATACCCCTTTCCCTGGCTCTAGGAGCAGGTGCCAGGCTCTGTGCAGGATGCGCCGCGGCCTCAAGGATGAGTAAGATGCGGCGTCTGCCCTCAGGGAGAATACCCAGGACTGTGCTTGGGTCACTACCAGCCCTGGCATCTGGCTTTCCCCAAAAGAAAACAATTTCCCTATACTTCCCAGAAAGCCAGAGCTTTTTCAAAAGGAACAAAAGCCGTTGTGTCTCATGCACAGAGAACTGTGTATGGAGTCCGAGGTTGAAGGTCACAGAAGCACTTAAACAATATGGTACTGAAGTGAACTCGATTCCCATCGGGCACTAATAACTTCGAGGACTAAAACCACGGTCTCTAGAGAAATAGCTGATGCCATATTCTGAAAAGCAAGTTCAAGTGGGCTTCAGGGGCTGGAACTGAGGGAGCAAAGGACGCCCCCACCACTCAGCAATCAGCCCGCCAGCATTTCTGAATTCACGGAGGAACAGAAAATGCTGCCTCCACAAAGGCATTTTTCCCTTTTCACCTTTTCACCTGTGATGTTTAAAAATCATTAATTAGGTGACAAGCCCAGCCTAATTTGCTGATTGGAAGTACTCTGTCACTTATATTACCATAACTTCACTATCACTTTGTAGATCTGGGATTATAAGACGGAGCTATTTCCCCAAGTGTGGTCCACTGGGAATCTGTTCGAGTCCTCTGGCGGACCTCGTTGGGCAGGTAGACTCCGGGGCACCACTCCAACGTCCCAAAACCCACTGTCTGGGCACTGGCCTGAAGCTGCACTTAAATACGGTCAATCAAAGGCCTCGGGTGATTTTTACACAACCCGACATTCTTTATTTCTTCCTGGGCAATTTGGCCTTGTGATCCCGACTGGTTTCCAGGAGGTATAATGAAGGCATGACTAATAAATACACATTTTCCCACTCAACTGCTTTCCATAAAAATAGAACTTCCCATTCACCAGATGGGCTTAATTAGTACTAATAATTTTAATTCAATTTAAAATGTCATACACAATTCTGAAGCTCGATGATGGGTACGTGAAGATACGTTTTAGTGAGATGCTTCTAGTCCATCTCAAAGACCCACAGAAAATGTAATTGCTTCAGCCTGACATTACCAGATTAAAAACCTGTGTTATTTTATAATTCCTTTATGTTTACCCACGAAGGCTTAAAGTTCCAGCCTGACCTCTGAAAACACCATTTTTCTTTTTTTAAGGGCCCTGGAGTACTAAAAGGTGAAGTCATTAATTAAAAAACAAGTATCTCCCCATGAGAGCATCAAGATTTTTTTTTTATTTCTTTTTTTTTAAAGATTTTATTCATTTATTTGACAGACAGAGACATAGCGAGAGAGGGAATACAAGCAGGGGGAGTGGGAGAGGGAGAAGCAGGCTTCCTGCTGAGCAGGGAGTCCGACGGGGGGGCTCGATCCCAGGACCCCGGGACCATGACCTGAGCCGAAGGCAGACGCTTAATGACTGAGCCACCCAGGTGCCCCGAGCATCAAGATTTTAAAACAGATATAAAGTGTCCCCCCCACCCAGTAGGAAGGAGGAAGTGACCATATTAGATCTTCTCCTGAACACAGTTCTTACAGGAGAGCCTGAGGGTGCCTGAAGGAGGGAGGGCGTGCGGCCACCAGGGAAAGGAAGGGGGAAGCAGCTCCTTCAGAATCCTGCCCATGCCTGCCTGCCTGCTTCGTTCCCTCCGCTGCCATTTGGGGAACCAGCCTGGTGAGGCCGGTGTAGTCTCCACTGCCCAGAGCCCAGTGAGACAGCTACCTGTGGCCTGGCCTCTCAGAGTGTTCGCACTCGTAACAGAGATTTGTTCATGTTTTATTCTGAGCATTGATTAATTGTCCATTTATCATACTACAAATTATATAGGGTGCCACTGAGCTCTCACCAACATTAATAACATTCTTCCTATTAACTCTGCTGGGTTTTTTTTTTTAAGATTTTATTTATTTATTTGACAGAGACACAGTGAGAGAGGGGACACAAGCAGGGGGAGTGGGAGAGGGAGAAGCAGGCCTCCCGCCGAGCAGGGAGCCCGATGCGGGGCTCGATCCCAGGACCCTGGGATCATGACCTGAGCCGAAGGCAGACGCTTAACGACTGAGCCACCCAGGCGCCCCTCTGCTGGGGTTTTTATGGTACAGCAGGGAGGTAATACATGATCTACAAAAATGTTGCTATCAAAGTCAACCTATAAAAAGAAGTTCAGATATTACTGTTTCAGACATTACTAGAAAAACAAGCTGGGCATGTATAAGCCATGGGGAGTGAGGGGTGGAGAGACTGGTTTTCCCCAAATCTTAAAACAAAAACAGTGATTTAAATAAAAAGTGAAATCTGGAAATGTCAATCAACTAATAAACAACAACAACAACAACAACAACAACAACAACAAAAAATATATATATATATATATATATACACACACAATGGAATACTATTTAGCCATAAAAAGAAGTGAAGTACTGTTAGATGCCACAATATGGATGAATCTTTGAAAACACAGTAAGTGAAAAAGCTAGACACAAAAAGCCACATACTGTATGATTCTATTTATAGGAAATGTCCAGGCAAGTCCATAGAGGGAAAGGGAACTGGGATTGATTGCCAATAAGTAAGGGTTTCTTTTGGGGATGATAGAAATATTCTGGAATTAGATAGTGGTCTTTATAACTATCAATATATAGTGAATAACTACAAGTCACTAAATTGTACACTTCAAACTGGTACATTCTATGTGAGTTATATCTCAAAAATATATGCATCTTCAGTGAAAACAAAAATAAGAAATTTGGGCAGGGGAAGAAGATGGAGTGAGGAATAAAACACACACAACTATAATTTTCCAGTGCCCTCTACTGCTCTGAGGTTAGTATGTTAATTCTGGAATATAGGTAAATACACATTATATTCACTTGATTCATAAGATGGTCATACTTGATATACTGAATGAAAAAATACAATTTACATCACAAATGACTGCGCACTAATACAATTCAATTTTAAATGGCTTTTCCTTGTGTCGCAAATAAAGCTGTAAGTTGTTCAGCTTTAATGATTCTAGTAACTGTTATTTTTATCAGTTTATAAACAGCAAACACAAAATTGAGAAGGAACCACAACAATTACTGCAGAACAAAAATAGTTATTTTTCTCAACTGAGCATTCTTCACGGCAAGCATAGGTGGAAGGTGTTTGCTTTCAGAAACTATGCTGAGAAGGAAGAAAAACAGCACCGTCACAAC